GAAATTCAATTTTTTCCCAGAAAAATTGATGGAATAATGCAGAAATCCCAAACCAGTCGGAGTGAATTTCATTGGTTGAAACTAGTTTTCTGACTGCTTCTGACTGTTTTCAACCAATGAAATTTTCTCTGACTGGTTTGTGATATCTGCAGAAACAGACCTATTGACTAATTCTCAGGTTAGTAGTAAAAAAACTACTTTACGCACTGGTGCGTGACATTTTATGTCTTCTAAAAGGTGCGTAACGTAAGTACTTTACGCGCGGTAGTGGAAAAAAACAATTATTGCGCCTTCATTTTTTACAATCGGGAGTGAGATGCTGTACCCATACTTATACAGGGTGGTCCATTTAAATTGAGACATTTCAATATCTCGAAAATGGCGCGTTTTTGAAAAAAAGAAAGCTCAATAATGTCTTAAGTTCAATGGCCCACCCTGCATACCTATTGTATATCGTGTGCTAGAAACTTAAAATTACCAATTTTTCATTGAATATGAAAATTTTGCGACTAAATAAGAGAAAAAAAGTCTGTCTAGCCTTCTCTACGTAAAAAAATTGAAAGCATCGACAATTTAACATTGTCTTGCCAACATAATGTCATTTTGACTTTTATCTTTAAAAAAAAAACATATCTACTTTAAAAATTCCGCTATCCGCTTCTACCCTTTTGCGAACGAAAATAGAAAATTTCTTCAAAAAGGCAAAAAGAGGATAATTCCGTCAAGTTGGCAACACTGTAGCTGACTCGTTATCAAACGCAAGGATATCAACAAAGCATTTGATAGGTTGGATAAAGGCCACGCCCCTTTCCAATCAGATGCGAGTGATATCAGCAGGGCATTTAATTGGTTAGTTGAGCCCCGCCCCTTTCCGGGGTTTATGTATCGTCAAGGTATTTGATTGGTTGTTTCCTTATTTTCAACCCTTTCCAATGGCCCCGACCTACCTACATAGTGACTTCACCTTTTCAAATAGAAATTCGGTACCGCCGCCATATTTTTGTAAATTTTAAATATGAATATAGAAGTTAGCCACGCCCCTGCCGCCATATTTTTGCAAATTTTTTGATGTTTACTCAGGTATTATATTATTAATATTATTATTATCTAAGTATATATTTATTTATTATTTATTCTTTATTTTTCAATTTTTCCATCTCATATTTTGTCTATTCCCGGATCTTGAATTTTCGTTTTCTTCTTAATTTTTGTAATGGCCATTTCCACCAACTATTTTAGGGAAGCCCTTAGGTATGCCTTAAACTGACATTTCTCTATGTAAAATTATCATACTTATCGTTAGGGCTCCCCTGAAATAGTTGAGGTTTATAATGCGTGATACGTGAGGTATATAATGACTTTCTCTACCGAGAAATAGAGTTTTTTTTATACTGCTAGGGCCGGTTTCTCAATAGCGAGTCACCCCCGGGTTGGTTTTAACTCCAGGGTTAACGTGTCAAATTGCAATGTTTACCCTGGAGTTAGCTTAACCCGGAGGTGACCTGCTATTGAGAAACCGCGGCCCCTAGTGGAAAATGAATAATTTGTAATCTGTGCCAGTGGCGTAGCCAGGATTTTGTCCTGGGGGGGGGGGCAAATTTGCAGGAAGCGTCTCTTGCGGTCCTACCGTGACCGCTGCCGGAAGCAAAGCGCCGCAGGCGCGAAATTTTTGGGTGCCACGCCCCTTTTTCAGGTTTTTTTACGCTATTTTTGGGACTGTTTTTCTTAATTTTGAAGAAATATTCATAAAATTTAAGGGTCTTGGGGGGGGGGGCAAATGCCCCCTTGCCCCACCCCTGGCTACGCCAGTGATCTGTGCTCTAATTATTTTTTTTTGAACGCCCTCTTGAAAGTGGTGTCCTCTATCAACAGCTTATGATAACTTCCTATGTACCTATTTGACGTATGAAATTGAAATTGAACCAATAAAAACATGACAATATCCTTGCGTCATGACGTCGTTTTCATTATTAACCTAGGTATTTTTTCATTATTTTCATTATTAACCTAGGGAGAGAAATTTAATTTTTCCTAGAACAATAGATTGAATAATGACTATTTCTCAGGTTAGTAGTAAAAAAACCTCATTTTTTCTCCAAACGTCAAAAAAACATCACTTTGTCAACACCTGTCAAGATGGTAGAAATTCAATTTCTATGTTGCTAGGCAAATCCAGGAGGTTAACACCTGTCGAGGTGGTAGAAATTTAATTTCTATGCTGCTTGGCAACCCCAGCGGCAGCAAAAGTACTTTTGGTGCCGCTGGAGCGGCAGTAAAAGTACTTTTAGTGCCGCTCGTACTTTTACTGCCGCTCAACCATCCAGTTACCCCCGAGCTTACCACATTCGTTTGGAGAAAAAATAGCGTGTTGCATACGGAGTAGAAGCACTTTTTTGTGCTTCAGCAGTATTGCAAGCCTTACTACGTTCGGCTCGCAAACCCACTGCTTCAGCACAAAAAAGTAGGTAAAGCTTCTACTCCTAATACAACAATATACTATTATGTACGCTGCAGCGTGCGATAATCGTTGATTATGATGCATACGTAATAAAATAGTATATTATGCAATGATCATGTAATGAATTAATACACGAGCATGTTGTAGGATACGAATCGAGCCGCAGGCGAGTTTCGTATATAACATGCGAGTGTATTAATGGCCATTACATGAGAGTTGCATACACTATTTTTTCTACTGCCATTGATAAAACTTATGATATTTAGATACCTATGTCAACAATATGCTTAACTTTGAATGGAGATTTTATAATTGAGTAATCCATACAGTTGAAGGTTTCGTTTTTTGTTGTAATTCTTCAAAATATACCATCAAAACATTTTCTGAGAAGGACGATGTGTTTTTGGTGTTTCCAATCCATAAATTGTTCATATAATTTTTCGTAAATTTTCTTGGACTTGTCCGGTAGTATATTATTACCTGCATTTATCGCCCTTTCTGTAATTTCTGGAGGTGTTAGTGAAAATTCTTCGTTATCACTCAATATTTCCATAATAATGCCTTATTCCAAACATTAGGTAACTTTTAATAAAATTCAAAGTATTTTTTTTCATAAAATTATTGTTTTTCGCTAAATTACCATGGAAAACCTATAACCAGAGTGCTGTCAACATTCAAAAAAAAAATAAGTAAAAATTTCTTTACTGGTGGCGCCATCTATTGACAATGTATAATAATGAAGAAAGTAAAAATTCTTCCTTATCACTCATTATTTCCATAATAATTATTCTTTGTCCCAAACTTTAGGTAACTTTTAAACAATTCGAAGTCTTTTTTGTAGTTATCAAAATAATTGTTTTACGCAAAATTACCGTTTAAAATGTTTAATATCTTAATTGGTGGTGCCATCTATCCACATTGTATAATATTAAAAATCTGTATTATAATGAAAATCTGTATCATAATGAAGTTCATTATGATACAGATTTTAATCGTTTAATAGCGTATTATGAAATGTCAGTAGAAAAAGATTATTATATTTTCGATACCTACCTATTCGAAAAAAATCGATTTTCCGTTTTACTTATTTTTAAAGGAAACCGTTGATTAAAACAAAAACTCATAAGTAAACTGGTAAAAAGCATTTATCTATATCTGTGTGCCTATAGCATTTAATTTTCTTTCGACAAGGTGTAATGCGTGGGGAAAATGCCTTTTCCGTACTTGTTAGGAAAATATAACTGTTTTGTTAAAATATATTTCTTTGTAAAAAATTCAAATTGGAACCAAAATACAAATCGCACAGCTCACAGCTCATTAGATAGAGACTAGAGAGCAGAAACTTCTTGATTTGCATAAGAAATCGTCCCTTTTTTACTTAAAATTTTAAGTATTAGAAATATTTCTGTTCAAACCTATATTTTTGATGCACCTTCGGATAGATAAAAATGTGCATATCAATTTCTGAAAAAATACATATTACTTGACCCATCATTATTCAAGAGGTCAGGGACAAAAAATGTATAAATAACAATAAAAAACACGATTATGTTTAATCATTTCATGTTTTTTTGTTATCTAGCACCTCAACATGTCTAACTATAAAACTTTCAATATTATTAAACCCACCATGAATTCACGAAATGGAATTTTAAGATTTTTCTGATAGTTCGTACCTGCTGCTACTCTCGCGCGATTGGGTCATTAGAGAGTTTTCGTTGTATTGGCAAATTCGAACGGTTAACCATAACGGATACGAAAACAAAGCCGCTATTTGACAGATCGTAAAAATAGTTTTCGTTCAATCCGCTTAACGTTAACGTTAAGTCGAATTCGACAAACATAACCTTTCTTTAATAGTTTGTGTTTATCATTGTGTTAATATACGTTTTGTATACTTTGTTTTAATTTCTTAGTACCCAAAATTCATTAATTTTCCCTGTAGGCTTTACAAAATTGGCTACTACAAAAGCCTATTTAGATGCATCGTCATATAGGAGGGGTTGTTGGCCAATATTTCTTCTAATGAAATAATAAATGCTTAAGAGAAGTTCGTGTCCTATTGGTATCCAATGAAGAGGGGTGATTCGTAGGTTAGGACAAAAAATAGAAGGCCTGTTAAGTCTTTACCAAGTGTCGCCCAAAAGTTTAGGGCTCCATCAGGGCTTGTACTTAAAAAATGATGTGGCCAGAATTATAAAAAATAGTGCGAGATTTTCAGGATGGAACACTCGATTGCACATAATATAATAAATAATATTGTCCTCATCCGTGAAACGATTTCTCGATCTTTTGAGGGAATTTAGTATCTATTTCGAAAACCAAAAACATTTAAAAACAAAAACAAACCACAACAAAAACATAGGAAATACGCATGCTTTCCGTTTTCGCTATGGTTTTGTCTTCCGTCCGTAAGCTCCCGGCACTTATCGGTAACGATAACGATAAATGCTAGCTCAAATGTCAAATTTGTCAAATAGCGGCTATCGGAATCGCTTTTAAAAGACAACGAAAACTCTCTATTCTCTGTTGCGGTTGCGATAAGCTGTCGCCGAGCTACGCATAAGTTTTATCGCTATAACGAAAAGAAAAGCTTTCGAAGTAATAACAATTTTTGAACATTACTAATTCGTGATTGAATCTATTCGAGTGCAACGGAAATATATTGCGTATAGTGATTTTGTGAGAATTTTTTTTATCCAGCTAGTGTTAAGAATACAAATTTCCTTTACCTAATATAATCAGTAAGTAGGTACCTAATTAAACTTTATAAGTAGATATTAAATTGAAATAAAAATTTGTCAATATAGTTGAATAAACTGAGAAAATTTTCTAATAATTATTATTTAATTTTTCAAACAAAACGAATTGAAAAGTAATGAAAAAACTACCTAGTGATGATGCGGTATACCTGGTTAGGTGCCTAAAGTATGAACAAGATTAAAACCCGTTTTTTAGCACAGCTACTGCTTTACATTCTCATTCAATTTCCAAAATATCTCAATAATCATTATTTGATTTTTCAATCTACGATAACGTACTTATTAAACATTTTTATTAAATCGAGTTCATTGATGGTCATCGCAGTTGAATGACATCCTTTCAACGAGTAATTATTCTGTTTTAATTCCTACATACTTTCATTCCTCAATGCATTTCCGCTATACTTTCACAATCTACAGGACAATAATTAGGTATATAGGTACCTATACAAATTCATATCTGGAGGCAGGTATAGTATTGAACCAAAGACTGTTGAACAAGTGTTATTCAGCTATACCCATTAGGCTTTTACTACTTATGAAAGGGCAATTATTTTACAAAACTAACTTTATTTGTTCTTCGTGGAATAGCAAGGGAATTACCAATACTTACAATAAATTATTCCAGGAAACTATATAAATTTGAAGGACAACAAACATGCAATTTTTCCATGAGCATTTTAAATCGTACCATAGATAGGTAATAGCATTGTATAAAAAGTCTCTTTTTATACAATGGTAATAGTAAGTCAAAACAACAACCTAGTATTATCATTTGGGCTATTAATAATAATGCATAATTTTTTTTTATTTGATTCACATGTGCACATGAAGATTGATAAGGAAATACTTACCTAGGTACCTCTATACAAACAAAAATAATGTTTAAAATTGATCAAATCTTAACAGACATTTTTTAATATACATAAATATTATCCATTCACAATGCGATGTCCACAGTCCACAGGTACAGGTAAAATTTATCACCCTTCAATGCTATTTGATAGGAAAAGGTGATAAATTTACCTATACCTGTGGACATCGGATTGTGAATAGGATATACAGAAATGTTCAATGTTTGGTATGAGGACATTTTTTGTATACTTAGATATAATTTCCTTTAAAAACTCATTTGATTTTCGATTCTCTTTTTAGTGCAAAATGGATCCTCAACAAAACACCCACCATCGGACCAATCCAAACAAGAAAAATCCGAAGAGCAAAATAACGTAGATATTATAGAAAAATCAATCGGAGTACTCGGTAAATGGCACATATGGATATGCCTGGCCATATTCTTAGTGAAATTTCCGGTCGCCTGGCATCAATTGAGCATTGTATTTGTGGCACCGAGGACGGACTTTTTCTGTGCAGAAACAAATTTAGATAAATGTGCTAAGAATTGTAGCACGCATATTTTTAACAGGTACTTATGTTTTTCTATTACATAAGTACTTATTTGCTCTTGACCATGATACAATTATCCTATTAGCTCGGTATTCGATTCGAGGGGCATCCAAACCTATTATATTCTTTTACATAAGGTAATTGCAAAATCTAAACATGATAGTTATTTTTTTCTACGAGCGTACGGGAAATGGCTCTTCCCGCACTATTTGCTGCGCGGGAAGAGTTTTCTTCCCACACTAATACGGGAAGAGTTCGAAATAATCTTTGGACTTAGGTATAATAGTTCCAGAAATAAAATTGCTTTAAGCAATTTGGGGTGATTTATCAATTTTTTAATTTTTCTGAGTGCCTTTTTTCATAGATTTCTGCTTCAAATCTGAGAATAATTCAGTGAATGGAGTTTGGGGTATGTTGATTCACCATTAGGATACAAAATCTCGACAAAAAAAATTGAAATTTCATCGTTTTAGTAAGAAGGTTCCTACCTTATGATTTAGATTTTGGAAAACTTTGAAAGGTCATAACGTTTTTTCTGTTATAGATAGAAAGATGAAACTTTCACTGAATTTTATCCCTTTCAAAGGCCTACAATCCCTGAAAATTTCAGCTCATTTGCACGTATAGGTCCTGAGATAAAATAGTGTTAAGCAATTTGGGGTGATTTATCAATTTTTCAATTTTTCTGAGTGCCTTTTTTCATAGATTTCGGCTTCAAATCTGAGAATAATTTAGTGAATGGAGTTTGAGGTATGTTGATTGACCATTAGGATACATAATCTCGACAAAAAAAAAAATTGAAATTTCATCGTTTTAGTAAGTAGGTAAGGTCCGTTTCACCAGGGTTCATACTTGACCTTGAAACTTGAAAAATGAGGGTTGTCGTAGATTAATTCATATGACACATTCAATTTTTTGACAAATTAAAATGAATGACTTCTGGTTTAAGAACCGACGAACATTTTTGACGTCATTGATTTGTTTCACTGAATTTTTATTTGTTAAACAAGGAAGGCAAATGCTGGTGGCAAGTACAAACCCTGGTGAAACAAACTTTACCTACCTTATGATTTAGATTTTGGAAAACTTTGAAAGGTCACAACTTTTTTTCTATTATAGATAGAAAGCTGAAACTTTCACTGAATTTTATCCCTTTCAAAGGACTACAATCCCTAAAAATTTCAGCTCATTTGCATGTATAGTTCCTGAGATAAAATAGTGTTAAGCAATTTGGGGTGATTTATCAATTTTTCAATTTTTCTGAGTGCCTTTTTTCATAGATTTCGGCTTCAAATCTGAAAATAATTCAGTGTATGGAGTTTGGGGGATCCCAAATGACCATTAGGACACAAAATCTTACCAAAAAAAAATTTGAAATTTCATCGTTTTAGTAAGAAGGTTATGATTTAGATTTTGGAAAATTTTGAAAGGTCATAACATTTTCTATTGAAGATAGAAAGCTGAAATTTTCAGCGATTCTTATCCCAGTAGAGTACTACAATCCCTGAAAATTTCAGCTCATTTTTTCAAAGGTTTCAACTTTAACAATACTGGGTGTCCCAAGTGATCATTGAATATAATTTCAATTTTTTTTTTTAGGACAGTATTTAGTGAGACGATCCTCTCAGAATGGGATTTGGTCTGTGATAGAGGATATCTGGCTGATTTTGCTCAAACTATCACTATGCTGGGCATATTATTCGGAAATATGATTTTTGGATATTTATCAGATAAGTGAGTATTGTCAAAATCACTCACTTAATAATGAATTTATTATACCTACCTAATACACATAGAAAATTAGGCTGCTTATAAACATAAAATAGGTATTTTAGAAAACGGACAGACAAGATCTTCCTGATGTTAAATTACCTATAACATAATTTTTTATACAAACAATTAATGGTCGAATAAAGTTTACATTTTTGCATAGATTTGGTCGCAAAATGCCGTTGGTCGGTGCAGTGGTCCTGCAAGCTGTTTCAGGAACAATCGCAGCGTTTTCGCCATGGTTCGTCTTGTTTCAAGCTATGAGATTTTTGGCCGCTTTAGCCACTGGCGGAACAATGGTAACCAGTTTCGTCTTGATTATGGAACTCATTGGTAAAAATTGATATTGTCCTATTAAAAAGCCTCCAGCAAAATTTTAAACAATCAGTATTATCTAGGTATAATAGGTAGAAAAATATACACAATTTCCATTTATTGATATATCGAAATGTTTACTAAGGTCATTGGTTGGTATACCTACCTAATTAATTGTATTATCTATTAGCGGCATTTTACAAAACCATTCAGGTGAAACCGCTCTCAGCCTCCACCAGCGATTGATTAGGTCATGGACTTTATTTTTATACTGTTTGATGTTAGATTTTATTAACTTATTTTTCTTACTTAATAAGTACATAATTATTTCAGGTACTGAATGGCGAACAGTCCTAGGAATACTTTATCAGATCCCCTTCAACATCGGTCATCTCCTATTGCCACTGATCTCTTATTTCCTACGAGATTGGCGTTATTTCCAGGCAGCAATCTCTCTACCTTCCCTGATTTTGGTTTTCTACTATTGGGCTTTGCCAGAAAGTCCGCGCTGGTTACTAGCTGGAGGAAAGAAGGAAAAAGCAATAAGTGTTTTAGAAAAAGCAGCCGGATGCAATAATTTGCCAACGAAAAGTATTAGAACTGATGTCACTGAATATTTGGCCCAAAAAGCATCAGACAATTTGCAAGTGGAAAATAGAAAAGGAGGCAACGTTATAGACCTTGTTCGTACTCCCATTATGAGAATTTACACGATAGCGATATGCTTTAACTGGTTAGTGTGCGGTCTTTGCTTTTTTGGGGTTTCTCAATTTATTGGACATCTCGGTGGAAATATATTTTTGAATGTTAGTTTGTCAGCTATCATTCAAATACCCAGTACCCTGTTTGCTTGTTGGTGTACTAAAGCCTGGGGTAGAAGAAAAACACTAATAATTGCTAATGTTTTATCTGGAGTTGCTTTGATTTTGATTGGTTTTGTTCCATCCGAACCTGGATGGATTAAGCCTACTCTCAGTACAGTAGGTAAAATATTATTTCTCATCATTAAAAGACTTTGTTTAATTTTAAAATTCCAGCTATGTTTGGTCTTGCACTGTCTTTCCCTACTGTATACATTTACTCGGGAGAACTATTCCCAACGATGGTCAGAAATATTGGAGTCGGAACGTCCTCAATGTGCGCCAGAATAGGCTCAATGGTAGCGCCATTCGTCGCTTCACTGGTAACGATTGAACCATGGATTCCGCCAATTATTTTCGGCGTAGTGCCGCTAATCGGAGCGCTACTCTGTTTGAAACTGCCAGAAACTTTGGATTGTAAACTACCCGATACCATCGAGGAAGCTGAGATGTTTGAGATTCGTGATAGAGAGAAGAACAGAAAGACTGAAGTTGTTGTCAATGAAACGGAAATGATATGATTGTTCTTCTAAGAATTTTAGTTGAAATTTTTTGTTTATGTCCTATTTTATTTAACTATGAATCATTGATTAAATTTTTTGATGTTAAAAAAAGTGTTTTTCTGTAATTGACAAGAAATGTCAGCATTTTTGATCGGTTGACAGGTCGCAAAACTCAATATTCTGTTATTTTAATTATGTTTCAATAGTTGCTAAGGAATCAATGAATAACAATACGGGAATCACTTTTCCGGCCTAGGCCAAGAAAGTGATTCTCGTACTGCTGAACAATTGGAACAAAAAGACAAACATTTAACAGAAATTTAACCGATTGCAGAAAAAATATTTCGGTGGAAAAGCACATTCTCGGCCTTCAGTGTTTGTCATCTTACACTGTCGGCCGAGAATGTGTCACTTTTCCGCTTAAATACACAATGTACTATTATCATATCACATGCGAGAAATGCAGAGAAAATTCATCTTTTTTTAAATTATCATATACTTAAATAATGAAATTCTCCGAATTATTTTCGTTTTGCTAAAATATTATTAGCCCAGCACTTTTTTCTTTTTAACAAACGCCGTTTAACAAGATAATTATATTTTCCAAAAGATAATCCTCCATATTACTCCACTACATGAAGACTGTGCGAAGTCTGCAAAAACTTCTTCAGTGGACGATATCACGTATGCGAAATCTGACGAACTTATTCGTGCTAAGTATTTCTGACGGTTGCAATTCGGACAAAAACGCATCCAATGGACGACTGACCTTAGGCACACCTTGGGATCTTTGGACGCGTTTTCGTCCGAATGGCATTCGTCAGAAATCGGTCGCGAAAGTGCGAATGTTTGTGTCTTGTTAAAATATCTAGCCCAGCCCTTTTTTCTTTTTAACAATCGCCGTCTAACAAGATAATTATTTTCCAAAAGATAATCCTCCAATCTCCATTTACTACACTACATAAAGACTGACTTCGCGCAAATAACCGATTCTCCCAACTTGTTCCCGATATCCCAACTATCCCAACTACTTGAGCTGGTTGGGGGGGGGGGCGCTCCCCCATCCCCCCCCCCCATACTTGCGTCACTGATAGTTTCAGCTTTTATAATCATTTTGTGTATAATTTGCAATAAAGGCATTAAAATGATCTACTGTGGATGTTCTTTCAAGACTTCTATGGGACATTTGCTTTTCCATATAACATAAGATAGATATCCTTGAGACGAACTGTGGATGAGACTTCTATGGAACATTTGCTTTTCATATAACATAAGCATAATATAGATATCCTTGAGACGAACTGTGGATGAGACTTCTATGGGACGTTTGCTTTTCATATAACATAAGATATCCTTGAGGCGAACATTTGGCAGTTCCTGCAAGATATTTGAGATTTTCGTGAAAGGAACCTGCCCAAAGTAGAATACGGAAATTGTGTTTATGTCAAATGTCAGAAACTAAAAATTTAAACGAAAAATCACGTGATTGAAAACGCTCTCTGATTGACTAAAGCCGATTTTGACGTTTTTGTTGCCACATGTAGAAATGCGAAATTAAAATGAGTTATAGCCAGCCACACACGAAAAGTTTATAACGCGCGTAGATGCGGAGCGTTCCGGATGTACATGCTTTATGGCGTTTCCGATTGGTAGATTAAGAAAGGCACGCATATGGGCGTCTTTGCCCACAAACGTTCAAAAAATACATGCGGGTTTAGCCTACAGATTTTAGTCTGACGTTCCAAAGTGTTTCGTTAATGGGGCCGAGTTCGTTTTTGTCATCTTTTCCGTCGATTTGCTCCAAAATTTTGACAGGCACGTGACTGGATAAGACAGTTTCAAGTTACAAATCACGTGCCTGTCAAAATTTCGGAGGAAATCGACGAAAAATATGACAAAAACGAACTCGGCCTGGGTTAGAAGTGTCTTAAATCGGAAAGATTTGGAACGGCATTTGGCATTTTAGAAATTCTAACAGTTTTGCTAAGAGTGTTTGAATTTTACGAGGTGTACTATTTTTGTAAATTTACTAGTATGTAATTATGTTTTCACTCAAAAAAAAAGAAAAGTTATTGCATGTGCAAGCTGTATGCATATTCTTTACAATCAAGTCATAAAAAGAAAAAGCGATCCACTTGGTCAAAAAAATGGTTGGAAGAAAGGGCAATTTATGGTCATATACCACCTTTTCAATAAATTAAACTTTTTTTTTGTGAACGAATCAACTCTATTAGATAGGCGATAAAATTATAAATGTTATACCTAGGAATATATATACATATTTTTTTTTAATTTGCCTTGAATTCCCTTTACATTTTGAGGATTATTTTCTTAATTTAATAATTCTAATCCATTAGGCTATGGTAATTTCTATTAAATATCATACTTAAGTCGAGACTTAAGTACTTTCCGACTGTCACCCATATTGAAAATAAATTTGAAATTCCAGAAAAATAACGAGTCTACATTTATGTGCAATTAACTCTTGCACGTGCGATTTGCGCGCCAAACTTGTCAGACCGCTCAAAACCTGTTATCGTGACACTCCACTAACTGACACTTCTGTTGCGACTTTTGAAACGGCACACTCCAAATTTGCGCGCCGGAATTTTCGTGTGAAATGTGTACCTAATGATTTACTAATGAGAAATTTGGCATCCTCGCATTTTTGTTGATTTTCTGGTGTGTGACGTCACAAACCACGTTCGCGTTTTCGCGCCAGTTTAAAAATTCGATTTTTAAATAATTTTTTTTTCAAAAATAAGCATTTTTTTTCGGAAAAAAGTATACAGATAGTACCAGAAAGACTCAAAAAATAGTTTAAATATGCTTTTGAAAAATGTGAAAGTGGCTCATTGGCTGAATTTTGTATAGGTATAATGTAGATCCCGCCTTTCTCATTAATAGTACATTATGTACCTAGGTAGAGAAGTTGGTCATTATATACCGAGCGCTTTTATAAACCGAGGCGCGAAGCGCCGAGGTTTATAATGCGTAAGGTATATAATTACTTTCTCTACCGAGGGATATATAGAATTTTTTTTACTGCTGCTAGTAGAAAATAAAAAATAGGTTTGAAACCGGGTACTCAAATTATTTTCTCTTGTCGGAAGTGCTGCCCTCTATCAACATCAGCTTACGGTAAGTTCCTATAATGTAGTTGCGATAAAAAAAAAAGTAGTACAAGAAAAATCTCCAAAATCTCCTGGTCTATTATACATTAATTTAATTCATAACCAAAAATGACATATTTTTGACACTTTTCGACAAGTTTCTAACCTAGAAAGCTTCAGATGATATTATTTTGGCATTTTTCCACCAGTTTTTAACCTAGAATATGTCATTGCCTGTTTATTTACTGTCAAAATTTTGTATGTTACACTGGGAGCTCAAATTGGGGTTAATAATTTTTGTACTACTTTTTTTTGATCGCAACTGTACATACAGGAACCTGCTTTTTTTAAAATTGACAGTTTGACACTGAAATTAAACCAATAGACCTCTGTTACGTTATGACAATATCCTTGACGTAATTTTCATTATTGACCTGGGTATTTTTTCATTATTTTCATTATTAACCTAGGGAGAGAAATTCAATTTTTTCCCAGAAAAATAGATTGAATAATGTCTATTTCTCAGGTTAGTAGTAAAAAAACTACTTTACGCACTGGTGCATGACATTTTATGTCTTCTAAAAGGTGCGTAACGTAAGTAGGTACTTTACGCGCGGTAGTGGAAAAAAACAATTATTGCGCCTTCACTTACAGTCGGGAATGAGATTTTGTAACCATACTTATACAGGGTGGTCCATTTAAATTGAGACATTTCAATATCTCGAAAATGGCGCGTTTTTGGAAAAAAAAAGTTTAATAATTATGTCTTAAGTTCAATGGCCCACCCTATATACCTATTGTATATATCGTGTGCTAGAAACTTAAAATTACCAATTTTTCATTGAATATGAAAATTTTGCGACTAAATAAAAGAAAAAGTAAAGTCTGTTTTTTTTTTTAAGATAATTCCCAAAGTCAAAAATTTAGTAACTATGTTGGCAACACAAGCCTCTTCTACATAAAAAATTTGGAAGCATCGACAATTTAACATTGTTTTACCAAAATAATGTCATTTTGACTTTTATCTTTAAAAAAAAACAGACTTTAAAAATTCCACTTTCCGCTTCTACCCTTTGCGAAGGAAAATAGAAAACTTCCTCAAAAAGGGGATAATTCCGTCAAGCTGGCAACACTGTGGCTGACTCCTTATCAAAGAAAGGATATCAACAAAGCATTTGATAGGTTGGATATAAGCCCCGCCCCTTTCCAATCAGATACGAGTGATATCATTAAGGCATTTAATTGGTTAGTTGAGCCCCGCCCCTTTCCGGGGTTTATGTATCGTCAAGGTATTTCATTGGTTGTTTCCTTTTCAACCCTTTCCAATGGCCCCGCCCACCTACAGTGACTAACGGCCGTATTCACCAACGACCGCTAACTGCTTATCAGTCTGATAAACTGCTTGTCAGACTGTTAACGTTAAATCCGGTATTCACCAACCTTGAGTAGTAGATATCAGTCTGATAAAGTTGTCAGGCGAAATTTGGGCTGTTAAGGAAGTTATTTGTCTGATAAGTGTTATTGTTATTGTTTTTTTTTTCAAAAAAAAAAATCGAATGTATCCATAAATTGGAAAGAATGGATGGTTCGTTAAATTTTAATTTATGGTAGGTAATGTCTGCCCAGCGACTCTGTGTCTACGGGGCAACGGTGAGGGGAATGCAGTTGTAAAAAAAATGGCTGATTTCATTCATAAAATACCCAGCTGCGTGCGAAACTTTCTGGAAGTGTTGTCATATTGCAACTCGTATACGAAAATCGACAATGACCAAACCTCCGCCACTGGATATTTCAATATAAATCGATATTCCAAGATGGGAGGATAAAATGACGTCAGCCCTGGCCAATAGCGAGACGTAAGGTGACATTAGCTTATTGACAACCGTATGGGTCCCCATGGCAACAGCGATACTGCCAAAAACTCCACCAATCAGGTTCATCCAGTCCGGATGCTTGCCAAATAGTCAAAAGCTGATGGTATCTTTAGAAAATGTTTATTTTTTACAATAGACCAAATTGAAAAAATCATGATTAAAATAAGAATAGATCTAACAACCACGTTAAATTAATTAACGTTTTATTATTGTTAAGTATCAATATTTTGTTATTAAAAAATGGATTTTCAAATGAACTATACTTCATGCCTAGTATTTCCGCTTTTTTATAATTAAACGTGACAACATGGTACATTTATGTCCGAATTCCTTCCGTAGACTCAGATCCGCTGGGCAAACAATACTTTATAAGTTTTTATTTTTTGGCAAAATGAACAGAATGGATGAAATTGGCCTGAATTATTTTGGAGGTTCATTGGATGATCCATATATCAGATGAAGATCTTCCCAGGCCCAGAAATGTGAGGGCAAGAATGATTTATTCACTGAATTGGATAATTTGGAGTTTCATAAGAGAATCAGAATAAACAAAATAATAGCTTTCAAAGGCTGAAAATAAACCTCTGAACACTGAACCTAGTCTTGGAGCCATTGCGGACGAAAGAAATAAACCAATCTAAAAAAAATCAGATTTTAATTGCAACCGGGTCTTTTCAACTTTGTATTGGTGACCATTTCAATGTTTCACAACCAACTGCATTGGTTTTCTTATTTCCGATTACTTTTAAATATTTCTCAACCAAAGAAATTAGAATTTCCTTTTCGCGACCAGAAAAGTTAGCTGCTCCGTTTCTTTTTTCATTTGGTATTCGTATACGATAATTAATTATTATTAGATAAATTATTAGGATTAGGAAGTTGTTTACTTGTTTCACAGCCCAAGAAATGTTATTATTAATAAATAAATATAATACAGACAAATTTTGAGGTTGTTAAATGAAATGAAGAGAAAAACTGTTCATAGAATATATGGATTTTTATTTTTATCAGTTTGTTTGTTGTCAGAAGGACCATTTTTATTGGTGAATAGCACTTGCTGTTATCCGACTGATAAATGTTAACAGACTGACAGCTATCAGATAGCTAAGTTGATTTTGGTGAATACGGGCGTTAACCTTTTCAAATAGAAATTCGGCACCGCCGCCATATTCTTGCAAATTTTGAATATGAATATAGAAGTTAGCCACGCCCCTGCCGCCATATTTTTGCAAATTTTTTGATGTTTATTCAGGTAGGTATTATTATTAATATTATTATTATCTAAGTATATATTTATTTATTCTTTATTTTTCAATTTTTCCATTTGATATTTTGTCTATTCCCGGATCTTGAATTTTCGTTTTCATCTTAATTTTTCTATTGGCCATTTCCACCAACTATTTTATTAGGGAAGCCCTAACAATAATAGGTATGCCTTAAACTGATATTTCTCCATGTAAAAATGTCATTTTTGGGGAATACTTATCGTTAGGGCTCCCCTAAAATAGTTGAGGTTTATAATGCGTGATGCGTGAGGTATACCCGCATGGGCGCCGGCAGCAGGGTGCACTTGCACCCCCCTGTCAGAAATACAATGAAAAAATTATTTTTATTTTATTATTAATATTTTTTTTAATAGTTACTGTTTGAAAAAATTGGCGAAACGACAAACGATGGCCTTCTCGCATTCTTTGTTGATATAAATTTCTTTAACTTCTACGATTTGATAGCCCGAAAAAACTAGGTATTAAATTGCGAGATGCCCGAGCTCAGGGGTCGATATATTACCGGGCAGTTTGGTGCGCCGCCCAGGAGCCCATGGCCCAATAGGGCCCCACGATGCTGCGTAATTCTATAAGGACTCAATTCCTATCTTCTATAATATCATTGATCTAGCGCCCATGCCTAATAATATTCGTCGTCCAGGGACCCCCTAGGCCGCCTCTCCAAAACTGTATTTTTACGTACAGAAAAATGTTACATAATGGCGTAGCGAACTATCTACTTCCATGATTTCATGAACATAAACGCTTTCGCGAGAAACTCATGACGTCATATTGAAGGTAATTCGACGGAAGCATGGATGCAGCTTCTAACAAAGACAATACCTTCTAGCCAGCATTCAAACTCATGACGTCACAGACAAACTATGGTTCGTCGTTGCAGCTCCTGCGTCGGGCATTCACCTTCTTAAATTAGTAATTTGAACCAATATAACAATCCACGCGCCGCCACTGCCCGTCTGCACCTCCCTGAAACTAATCCTGGCGGCGCCCATGGGTATACCTATACCTAATGACTTTCTCTACCGAGGAATATATAATAGTATATTATATACCTAGGTAGAGAAGTTGGTCCTTATATACCGAGCGCTTTTATAAACCGAGGCGCTCGCGCCGAGGTTTATAATGAGTGAGGTATATAATGACTTTCTCTACCGAGGAATATATAGAATTTTTTTTACTACTGCTAGTAGAAAATGAAAAATTTGTTTAAAATCTGTGCTCCAATTATTTTTTTTGAACGCCCTCTTGAAAGTGCTGCCCTCTATCAACAGCTTATGATAACTTCCTATGTACCTACAGAAACCTGTATTTTTTTTCAAATTGACGTATGGAAATGAAATTGAACCAATAGAAACATGACAATATCCTTGCATCATGACGTCATTTTCATTATTAACCTAGGTATTTTTTCATTAATTTCATTATTCACCTAGGGAGAGAAATTCAATTTTTTCCTAGAAAAATAGATTGAATAATGACAATTTCTCAGGTTAGTAGTAAAAAAAGTTTGTTTCGCCAGGGTTTATACTTGCCACCAGCCTTTGTCCTCCTTGTTTAACAGATAAAAATTAACTGAAACAAATCAATGACGTCAAAATCGATATCTTTGCGTCATGACGTCATTTTCATTATTAACCTAAGGAGAGAAATTCAATTTTTTCCTAGAAAAATAAATTGAATAATGACTATTTCTCAGGTTGGTAGTAAAAAAAAATTATTATTGCACCAATTCTGAAAAATTACTCCTTTTTAAGAAAATTAATTTCATAGGTAGCAAGTGAAACGTTCGGATATTGTAATAGACGTTCATTGTATCACAGATAGGTAAGATTGTCACAGTGGTGTACTACGTGAAGTTACGTGAAGTCATTTTTCAGGATTGGTGCAATGGTAACTTTTAAACGGAAAGGCGTGATCTACATTGTATACAAAATTCAGCTACTTAATTCTGACATAAACACAATTTTCGTATACTTTGGGCAGGGTCCTTTAATGTGCGTGAATCGCATACCTCAAGGTATATCTTTATTGGTACCTCTGTGGGATGGTTCGATTGTTCGATGTTTGCTGGGTAGTTCTAGAAATAAAATCGCGTTAAGAAATTTGGGATGATTATCATTTTCTCAATTTTTCTGAGTGCCTTTTTGCAATTAAATCCGACTTCAAATATCAGGATAATTTAGTGTATGGAGTTTGGGGGTCCCGAATGATCATTTAAGACATAAGTCTCAAAATAAAAAAGGAACTATGAACGCATCCATTTGAGGAAGCGTTCGGTGTTCAAGGGCGGATGGGCTCAGGCGGGACACCGGGACGATTCCCGGTGGGCCGGAGAGCCAAGTGGGCCGGTTCAGGAAAAAAAAAATACGATAGCAAACAATACGCCGCAACTTTATAGAAAAAAAATCACTTAAGGCGTAACGCGACAACACTCTGCCAATTCAACAGAAAGCAGTCTTCGTTTTTTTGTCGTTTTTCACAAGGCGTTGAGCTGCCATCTAATATTGGAAAATATTTTCATTAAAATTTAGACTTTTTCTGTAAATTTATACTTTCTCTGTGAACTGACACTTTTTCTGTTCAATCAGACATTACCGAGGACACTATCAAACTTACCTCTATATTAACCCGCTAAGTTCGAAATTTTTATCAGACATAATCAAAGTTACCAATAATAACCCGGTTAGTTTCAGTAAGTTTGCAATTGTAATCAGACATTACCGATAATAACCCGCCGGCTTATTCTCTATGAACAGCAATTACATAGCAACCAGCAACCGGTCGCAAGTTGCTTTTTTTGAATAGAAAACTCGCGTTTGACAGCGACTTGACAGCGACTATTGCGCAATTCTCTGCGGTTGCAAGTTACAGAATAAGGCAGCCGGTTAGTTTGCAATTTCAATAAGATATTTCCAAACTTACCAATACTAACCCGGTTAGTTTGGGTTAGTGTGCAATTGTAATTAAACATTAAAACTTACTGATAATAACCCAGTTAGTTTGGGTAAGTTCAATCGAACATAACCATTTTGTTTTCAAAATTTGTGTTAGTTTGAAATCTATTGTAATCAAACATTACCAAACTCAAACCTACTGAGAATAACCCGGTTAGTTTCGGTTAATTTTCAATTTTAATCAGACATTTTTAAACTTACCGATGTTATAACCTGGTTAGTTTGGGGGTTAGTTTGCTATTTCAATCAGACATTACCAATAATAACCTGGTTAGTTTGGACATGCTTCAAAATTATTCATTTTCGAAAGAAGTTATTCAAAATCAATATGTTCCAAATTTGATTGTTGATTTTTGAAATGAAAGCATTTGAAAAAAAAAATCGCAATTTTTGTTTTCGAAAAATAAACATAGACCAGCAGTAATGTCTGAATAAAATTGCGAACTAACCTAAATTGCGGTACTTAAATTTGGTTGTGTCTGATTAAACAGAAAAAGTGTAAACTTGAACATGAAAATATTTTACAATACCTATCAGCATGGCTCTACGCTTCCGTATTTTTGAGTAGTATAAGGAGGTTTTTTTAAAAAAAAAGTAGACTATTTAATACCCTACCCAACGTTATTCACCTCCTGTGAGCGCGCGTGGCCGCTTGAGCAAAAACCGTCCTGGGCCGATTCAATGTTGCCCATCCGCCCCTGTCGGTGTTAATCACTGTATTAAGATATAGAAGAACAAATTAATTTACGTTATGGCGTCGTGTATTAATTGCACCGAGTGCACATCGAGTGAGATGGACGAAAACCCCTAGGGCATCGAACGTCAAATTCAAAATTATTACAGCTGTAATCTTTTTAAAATTCAAAACAATAAAATTTCAAATTCAAATCCTTTAAAATTTTCAAAAAAAACATGAATATATATCGAACAATTCCATCTCCGAGACAATTCTCGTTAAATTTGAAAAGACACGCTAGTAAAGTAGCTTTAGACGAAATAATTCGGGTCGATCATGCTGGAGAACTTGGGTTTGTAATTTTTTTTCTATTTGTTTCAAGAAGCACTTTATTAATTATTCAATAGTGCGGACAGAATATACGCCGGCCAAATGGCTGTGCTAGGAACCACATCGAAAGGACCTCTGATTCAGCACATGTGGGATCAAGAGAAAGGCCACAGAGCCAAATTCGAAGAATTGATTAAAAAATACAGGGTCCGTCCTACAGTTATGACACCGATTTGGAATATTGCTGGATTTGCATTAGGAGCAGGTAACTTATTTCCTAATTTAGTGCCTACTTTCTACAATAAATCAACTGGGATTAGGAACAGCACTATTAGGTGAAAAAGCAGCTATGGCTTGTACTGTCGCAGTTGAAACAGTGATTGTAGAACATTACAATGACCAACTGAGAACATTGTTAGAAGACCCAGAAGCTAATAAAGAGCTGATGGAAGTTATTACAAAATTCAGAGATGAAGAGCAAGAACATCATGATACAGGTTGAATAATAATAAGTTTTATTTGTAAGATTATTAGGATTAATTTTTTAGGTATTGACCATGGAGCAGAACAAGCACCTTATTATACTTTCTTGTCTGATATTATTAAATCAGGATGTAAAGTTGCTATAACAATTTCAAAAATTATTTAAAATGTTTTAAAAACAATAATGTAAATACATGTATAATCATTTTGTTAAGTACTTATTATGTAGGGGTTTTTTTGTAAGAATTTCAAAAAATAAACAAATTATTGTAAATTAAAAAATAGGTATATTATAATTTTTCTAAAATGACCATATAGGTACAAGATCAAAATAAATATACTGCTACATTAACTAATATTAACATAATGTTTTAAAAAATGAATATATTTACTGGGGAATCTACACACTGGGATTTTAAAAACCATAGGACAATAATAATTATGGTTGAATTGAAAAAATCTGTGGATTGCCACTATTGCCCAATTTTTTTTTTTGAACTATCACATTGCTTTATTACATAATATATTATTTATTAAGGTAGATATGTACTTAAAAAACAATAGCATAAAATTTTATCAGAAAACATATAAGTTATTATAAATCAAAAAAAAAAGTTGTATAAATTAAAAAAAAAAGTAGATTCAAGAATAATTACTCTAGACTTGAGTTTATTTAGGCGCAGCAACAACCATTTCTCTTATATAAAAATTTACACAAAATATTACAAAGTTGGATACATTACCAAATAATAATAAATATACAATAACATAAAATGCATAATTTAGAGAAAAATAACTATTTACAAGACAAAGTTTCTGTACATTAGGGTATAATATTTTAACTGGCTCAAAATTGCCTTTAGTCAAATTTTATGGCACCTATAATCTTATTTTTATAGTATACCAATGATTGACCCCTGTAGTATGAAATATGTTGATACACAGAATAGAACTATAAAGAAATAATTAACCCAAAACTAATAATAATAATTATTCTATAAATATATCACCAAATTTTAGTAAGAATAGAAATTCACATGCAATATTATAATGGTCATTTTGAAATTTTTAAGTCTTATAGAAATGTAGCATGTGTGTAAAGCTCTTTTTTTCAATCATGTGATTGTTAAAATTCACATTCATGAAAAAACATTTCACTTTGCACACTTGTTGCATAATTAGCCATATGTAGATGTAATGTAGCAAATTCTTTTATTACCAAATCTTACTTTTCTTGGTTAGTTAACAGTACCTATGAACTTGAATAAGCATTTGATCATTTAAGATCTTATTACAGAATGAACTTTTAATTACATTACCTCTAGTTAAGTTTTAGTCAATTATAAATTATTTGAAACCTATTTTGTTCTTGAACTTAAAAGATTTTTGGTTTTATCTATTTTTTTAAAAAATCACAAAATGTGTTTTCTATAAAAATAGACAAAATTATTTACACTTAAGGACTAGTAAATTTCCTAAAGTTTGGTCTGTTTTCACAGAAATAACAAACCAGACAGAATAAATTTCACTCGAAATTTCATTAGTTGGATTTCTTTATGAGAACAGACCTACTGAGTAACATACAAAAATTATGATATAGAACAATTTGGTTTATCACCTCCATTCCCATTGGATTTTTCAATTTCAGTTAACAATAAATGAAATACATCTGAGACAGATAAATTTTCTTTTGCAGATGTTTCTAGAAATATAGCGTTCCAATCTTCAGCCAATTTTCTACCATCACTGGACGAAACTTGTCTTTCCAAATGAAGATCTGTTTTGTTACCAACTAAAACTACAGGGACTTGAACTTTTCCTGTAATATCTAATAGTTTATCGTAAATAGATTTGACCACATCGAATGATTTTACACTGGTGATGCTGTATACCAAAACATAGCCGTGAACATCTATGCTATATTGTGTGGGAAAGAGTGAATACTCATCCAAGCCTGCAGTGTCCATCAACCGTATTTCATACTCCTGCGAATTTATTCTGATAGTTTTCGCAAAGGTATTTTCAATAGTTGGATCATATGAATCGACAAATTGGCCTTCAATAAACTGAATGCTTAAAGAGGATTTACCCACTGACCTATAACCCATTACAGCGATTTTACGTTGCTTTGGCGAAGGCATTTTGTCCACTTCACACTTATACTATTTTATGTCTTTTTTTTTTTTCAAATGAGGCGTGAGAAAAACTTGTTATACAACAACGCAATTTGCTCTCTTTAGAGCTACTACATCGAAATTGTTTGTTAAAAGGCGGATTTTAGAGAATGGACAACAATTTCTCATAGTAACAAAAAAACAAGGACACTATCGACCAGACACATTTATTTTATAATAATTTTAGAATGTTGTCGCGATTAGTGATAAATGTTTTATGAATGTCGCAATTCTAGTTTGCACTTTGCACTTTTACTCATTATTTACAAATGGCAATGAACACAGCCTCCTATAGTTAACAAGCCATGAAATTGGAAATGACGGCAACGTCGCGTATGGTGCTATTTTGTTATTGGGTTATGTGTTTCTGACTTCTATGTATTGCTTTCATTGTGTATTGTTGCAATTTAGTATTTTTATGGGCATTATTGACGAAAAAGTGGATAGAAACACACCAATATATTGCCCATATTTAGTTGATACCTGGGGGTGTTTATTTGAAATGTGGAATTCAAATGCGTCAGTAAGTCGCTATTTTTGCCGGTATTTCACCGCTAAAAATTGCGACATACTGAGACGAATTTGAATTGTTCATTTCAAATAAACCCTCCCTGTTCCTTTGTGCTTTGATTGCAAATTTTTAGCAAATGGGTACAGGAGCAAAAATGAAGGTAAGGTAAGGTAAAACAATAAAAACAATATTAATATTTGTCTGCAAGAGCATAGGTCTCGATATATTACTTAAGATATTTAAACTTGTTCCAGATGCCATGAAACTACTGTGTTCCTGGGTGCAAATCGAACTATTAGGAGTTCCTTAAAAACTGAAGAAATGCAAACATTTTTATTTCCAAAAAAATTCTGAAGTGCAAAAAATGTGGATGAAAGCAATACACCAAGATAATTATACCCGAGATTATACAATAACGAAAAATTCTGTGGTGTGTTGTAAACATTTCGAAGAAACCGAAATAATTAGATTTGAAACAAACAAGGATAAAGGCGTAGTTCGAGAGTTCAAAATAAAACGTCCAACTCTTAAAAGTAGGTACCTCTTATTTTCGAAAATCAGCTCAAGTATTTGAATGGACTTGCCTTCCGAAAAAATCCCGAAGAAAGAAAAAGTTAGATTTTCAAAAGACATACTGAAACATAGGCCTATAACACTTTAGACTCTAGAAATATATTCATTTAAATCAATTATTTACTGTTCTTATTTACACAAATAGTTAAATTATTCATTGAATTACTGTTTTTGGCCCTTTAGTACAATAAATTATGCATTTTTTGTGATTCATATTAATAAAATAAAAAATATATATTTATACAAACAAACACCACCAGCACCACTTGGCGGTAAGATTGCGGTGTTGCCTTTTTAACTTCATGGCTTGTTAAATGTAGGGGGCTGTGTCACAGCCTCCTACATTTAACATAGAGTCTAAAGTGTTATAGGCCTATGTTTCAGTATGTCTTTTGAAAATCTAACTTTTTCTTTCTTCGGGATTTTTTCGGAAGGCAAGTCCATTCAAATACTTGAGCTGATTTTCGAAAATAAGAGGTACCTACTTTTAAGAGTTGGACGTTTTACTTTGAACTCTCGAACTACGCCTTTATCCTTGTTTGTTTCAAATCTAATTATTTCGGTTTCTTCGAAATGTTTACAACACACCACAGAATTTTTGTTATTGTATAATCTCGGGTATAATTATCTTGGTGTATTGCTTTCATCCACATTTTTTGCACTTCAGAATTTTTTTGGAAATAAAAATGTTTGCATTTCTTCAGTTTTTAAGGAACTCCTAATAGTTCGATTTGCACCCAGGAACACAGTAGTTTCATGGCATCTGGAAAGAGTTTAAATATCTTAGGTAATATATCGAGACCTATGCTCTTGCAGACAAATATTAATATTGTTTTTTTACTACTAACCTGAGAAATAGACATTATTCAATCTATTTTTCTAAGAAAAAATTGAATTTCTCTCCCTAGGTTAATAATGAAAATAATGAAAAAATACCTTTTTTTTTTTTTTTTTTTTTTTACGGATATGCGCACTCGCAAGGAAATGTCCTATCACGCTCGAGAAGCGGCAAGTGCGCGGGTGCCTAGGTCAATAATGAAAATGACGTCATGACGCAAGGATATTGTCGTGTTTCTATTGGTTCAATTTCAATTTCATACCTCAAATTGAAAAAAAAATACAGGTTTCTGTAGGTACATAGGAAGTTATATAAGCTGTTGATAGAGGGCAGCACTTTCAAGAGCGCGTTCACAAAAAATAATTAGAGCACAGATTTTAAACAAATTTTTTATTTTCTACTAGCAGTAGTAAAAAAAATTCTATATATTCCTCGGTAGAGAAAGTCATTATATACCTCACGCATTATAAACCTCGGCGCTGGTATATAATATACTATTTTATTGTTTTACCTTACCTTACCTTCATTTTTGCTCCTGTACCCATTTGCTAAAAATTTGCAATCAAAGCACAAAGGAACAGGTATCAACTAAATATGGGCAATATATTGGTGTGTTTCTATCCACTTTTTCGTCAATAATGCCCATAAAAATACTAAATTGCAACAATACACAATGAAAGCAATACACAGAAACACATAACCCAATAACAAAATAGCACCATACGCGACGTTGCCGTCATTTCCAATTTCATGGCTTGTTAACTATAGGAGGCTGTGCAATAAATGAATGGATTGACAAATGACAAGTGAAAATTTGACAAGTTTTGAAGTCATACTTCGAACGTTTTCAGGCGTGTTCGTTTATTCGATCTGTGCGCTCGAAATTGCTAAATTCCGTTCGTTTATTCTATTTCGAGCGTTTCGAGCAAAATTTTCGCGTTCGTAAATACGTCGAGAGAGCTATCGAGCTCGCTCATTTCGCTCCGTATTTCATAACCTCTAAAGGGTCACCGCCGCGAGGAAACACGTCGTGCCAAAACCAAAGTGTGTGGTAGAAAACCGTCGTGTTTTTCTACCACACACTTCGGTTTTGGCACGACGTGTTTTCTCGCGGCGGTGAAAACCGTCGTGTTTCACCGTAGTGTATGGGGCCCTTAACATCATTTATTTGTAAATAAATCTGTCAAAAAAAACAAACTATTTTTCTGTTTTTTTTTTGCTGAAGATTAAAGAAATGAATTGTGGGGCCCACAAGAAAAAAAAACAGAAAAAAGCCTAGTACTCATAACTGCAAAATTCGCATTTTTTTGACATTGCGTTGACAATTTGACGTTTAATGCGTGTATCAAACGTCAAATTGTCGAACCAATGTCAAAAAATGCGAATTTCGCAGTTATGAGTACTAGGCTTTAAAGTGGGGTCTGAAAACAGCATAGTTTGACCAGTGTTGCCAACTTGGTAAAATAATTACCAGATCTGGTAATATCGACCCTGGTTTTAGTAATGAAGATTTTCAAAATATATCTAGTAATATTTCTGGTAATTTGACATTTCATTCCAGCAAAATTCTGGTATTTTCGCATTAGCGAACAATAATCCATTTTTCTTGAATTTATGGCCGTTTGCACTCAAAGAGAACACACACTCTAAGGAGTGCTTATCAGCCTCGTTTTTGGTAATCGCCGCCATATTGGTTTTCAACTGTTTTCAACCATTGCCGACAGTGTTGCCAGACATACGGTAATTATCGTATTTGTACGATAATTACAAGAGGGTATGATGTACGATCGATAATTGATAAATGTACGATAATTTCTAAATGTTGATAAATTTTGAAAAAAATACACTGAAATCGCTGACCTCCATTAAAAATTGAAATACTAGCTCTTTTTTCCAGTGCCTGAATTATTACAAGGGGTAGGGGATAACAGAAATGAGTAGTTTTTTTCTTTTATATTTTTTCTAAATTTTTTTTTAATAAAATTATTTTGCAAATATAACCTAACCCCTTCAATTTAAGGGGATCACCAGCCTCCGATGACGTCACACTGGTAAAGTCAGTATTGTACGATAAAATCATGTAAAAAACGATAATTTCTACAGCATTGTACCATAATTTGGTTTTGGTCATCTGGCAACACTGATTGCCGACGTCATAACTAAGTCGTCAGCTGTTTAAACAGCCTACGTCAAAGCGACAAACGTAATGTTGCCTACGTCACAACTGGTTGTTTGTAAAGGGGGGTGGAGGGGGATTTGTTACACACAGGCCTTATGAGGATAAGCCATCCTGTAGTAGTAGTGTGTATCATCCTTGGTTTGCACTGTCCATTTTGAGGGAGGTTTAACGATAATCAATGCTTAAAGTGACATTTTTACATGTTAGAATTTGACATTGGATATTTGAATGGGAAATTTTAACCAATAGGAAAGAAATCCGCAAAAAAAATCGCTATTTCGCGTCTATGGAGACTAGTCTTAAATAGTTATGTTAAAGGTTACCAATATACATATTGGGCCGGTTTATTCACCTTCTGATAAACTGTCAGGTATGCAATCTGACCCACATAAAAACGAAATTTGTCATCCCATTGATGGTCGGCCAGTTATCCGCCGAACAATAGAATTATAGAACGGTTCACTTATCTTGCAGATAGTTACTAAGGAGCTTATATGAAGATGAAAAAACCGGACCTAAGTATGTTATATGTTTACCAATATCTGTAATGTAATGTTATGTTATACAGAATGGATTTTTTTACAATAATGTATTTGTTTATAGGTAACCTGTAACATTAGGTATGCTGTTATTTTATCTGAATAAGTTTTATTTTTCCATACTAGATATTGTTGTTATTGCATTTTTATTTAAACCTAACGAAAAAACAAAAAAAAAAAAATTTGAAATAAATACCTAATTGAAATCTAAAAATTTTAGCATAATTTTTGTTTAGCAACAAAGACTGACCTAGTAATATTCTGGTATTGGCAGGATTGAGAAAAATCTAGTAATATTCAAATATTCTGGTATTCCAAGTTTTATAATCTGGTAAAATAGCCATTCATATAGTTGGCAACACTGAGTTTGACGAATATTTGACCCTAAAAATCATATAATAGTACGAGAGCTAATATGATGCTGTCGTTACTTTTGGTGACGTTGGTACCTCTTTACCTAACAATTATTAAGAATTTGTTGTTGAGGGTATAAGAATTATCCTATTTCTATTTTTGGTTTTTATATTATTTAGGTAAGCACAAGCGCTGCTTTGTGGCAAATTCATTAGTTCAGTTCATTACATTGAAAACAAAGAAACGAACAACACCGATCATTTGCAGCGTTTTTCATGTCATAAAAATTGAACCAAAAGTTTTCAGAACCGTTACATAGGAGAAGATCTGATTTTACAGATTGGGGCAAGGTTACTTATTTCACAAAATTCAAGACTAGACAAGAATCTCAAGAATGTACATGTTAGGCAATTTAAGTAATGGTTCAGTAATATTGCCATTACCCTTGGAATTTTTTTTGATCTAGCAAGTTAATCCTGCTACAAAACAATTATCATTAAGTAATAGTTCAGTAATATTGCCATCACCCTTGGAATTTTTTATGATCTAACAAGTTAATCCTGCCACAAAACCCAGATCTCTGGTGGATCTTGTAATCCAAAGTTTAAACTAATGAACTACATTCGTCACGAAAATTCGGTTGCGTCATACACTCACAAAAACTAAACAACTTTAAACTAACAAAAACAAAATAGTTATTCACCTTGACCTAACAAGTGTGGATAAGTGGGTAGTTATACTTTTCCACACGCAACGGGACGCACCAGCGGAGTTCGTGCAAACCGTCCGTAAGTGCGGAAAATACTTTACGCTCCATGATAGGTACAACATTTTTCCTACAGCCGTGTGGAAAAATCGATTTTCCGCACTGATATGCGTGCGGAAAATGAGTTTTCCCGCACGGTGCGGTAAAACCAAAAAACCAAAAAACGCTGTGCGGAAAAGTGGTACTTTCACGCAAATCGGTGCGTGAAAACGCGTTTTCCGTACGCACGAAGGAAATCAATTTTACTTTTACTAGTAGGTTTAGCAGTGGCGGACCTAGGATCTTTGGAGCCCGACGCAAAAAAAAAAAATTGGGGCCCTGTCAGGCTTTTTTAGGTATTTTGCTTGTGGTGTTGGGGTGTGACGCTAGTGTGCGAAAGTTATTTCTATTTTTGAAGTTTTTCACAGCCAAATATGAAAACAGATTTAATTGAAAACAAGTTTATTAAGAACATATATGAGATATTATATGAAAAGCACTCACACAGGACCAAAGCCACCCAAAACAAAAACTAAAAAGCACCGTACTGTACTCTCCGTACTCCACCAACAAGTGCCATTAATTATCTCTAGAGTCTGGTTGAAAGACAATAGCTGGAAAAGCCGCGTAAAGTCTAAGAATAACCAATAAGGAGAGCCGGAATGAGTTCTAGTATAGAGAGAGCTCGATTTTCGATTTTTGAAGTGAAACTTCTTAGGCGGCGGTCTGTCATTTGGATGAGAATGAAGAGTGATTTGGAAGACGCGTCACGTTTTGGCAAATTTCGTTACACGAGGGAGAAAAAAAATATAACGTAGGGGGAGGGAGAAAGACAGCCAATGACAATGACAGCCGACGAACGATTGACACAAACAAAGGATTATATCACAGCATATACAAAAACAATCAGCAGGCTAACTTGAGTGACAGCCCGTGTAATAAAGGAATTCATGGTCGGGATGTCACTAGCGGCCATTTTGGGATACGAGACAGGGCCTGATTAACAATAATTTAGGTTTTTTCTTTCGTGTCACAGAGTCGTATTCGCTTTAAATAAACTAATTTATTATTACTTACACATAATAATATTTATAATTAGTAATTTATCATTATTATTAAATATACAACAATGATGACACCATAAATGACAACACGAATATACTAAAATCACTTTGGAAATCATAACTAAAATTCCGCTCTACACCGCACGCCTATGACCTCTGTCAGAAATAAACAAATAAAATAAAATTTCGGCGTCCCTGCCGTTTAATGACAGCGATGGTATCCCCTAATGGCGGCGTGCGCAGAAAAGATGCGCGTGAGAGTAGGGTTGCTAACTTTGTTTTTCAATTTTTCTGGACGAGGGTATTAAAATATCAGGACATCCGGTATAAATTCTGGACATTTTTATTATTGCAGAGAAAAATACCATTTACACTTATATGAACAACGTGAACATTTTGGGTTAATTTTTTTCCCACGACCAAAATTCGCTCTTCGTAATAAATAAGCAATTCGACAAAAAAAAAAACATACTGATACACTAAAAAAAAAAATTCCAACAAGAATTCTTTGGGTAAATAGGAACTAATAATTTAAAATTTTATTTCAAGTAAGTACGCAGATTAACAAATTATTTAAAGAGTATAAAAAGTTAAGATCAGGGTACTTTTGTTCCACTTTTTGCAGCTACCATTAACTTCTTGATACCTCTCACAAAATCATGAAATTCTTTGCAAGTACAAGAACACTTAATTAAGCTTTATTTGCAGTTCTGCCTTGATGTGTGTTCAATGCACAATCGATTACGCGAATCAGTACACAAAGCTAAACGCATCGAAAAAATTTATTTATTGGACCCAAATATAAAAAATACAAGTTGCAAAATGATCCAGAAGTTTTTCAACTCAGTATAAGTCAAAAATAATAAATTCCATTTTCAAGTAATGCATAAGATTTTCGTTATCAATCAGAACCAGGTTTATAGCCGACTTAATTTGACAGAATTCTTCATTAAGTTAAAAATTAAGTACAATAGGCGTTCTGCAATAGGTTGTTACTGGACGCTGGACAATGGACCCCAAATGGTGGACGTCCACCGAAATGCAGGACGGTTGGCAACCCTACGTGAGAGTTAGCCTGCTGATTGTTTTTATATATGCTGTGATTATATACTATTATTGTCAAGCGTCGATACCGTTGTGACGACACAACAGATGAGCGTTTCTCTTCGTCTTTACCTCGACTTATACGCTAAGTCTGAAAGTTGTAAGAGGGGTGATAGTTTTTAAGAAGTTTCACTTCTACCACGTGTACGGCGTTGAAAATGCTTTTTTTTAAAAATTATTTTGAGTTTTTTTTAATTCATTTTTATCGATGTCTTTAAAATCCGGTTGTGTGGGGACCCCTCAGGTCTGGGGGCCCGACGCAGAGTGCGTCGTTTGCTTCATGTTAGATCCGCCACTGAGGTTTAGAATTTTTTTAAATTGGCGCTCGCTGCACACTCCAGCGAGCTCGATACACTCTCTCGACGTATTTACGAACGCGAAAAGTTTTTCTCGAGACGCTCGAAAGAGAATAAACGAACGTCATTCACAATTTCGAGCGTATGGTGCGCACAGAGCGCAGCTGTTGTATGGTTCGAGATGCACAAACCCGTTCGTTTTTTATTTCAAGATTTTCAAGCTCGGTTTGCTCGATGATCAGCTGACCTCTGTCCAAGCTCAAGTTGCTCAAGCTCCACACGCTCCGCACTTCGAGGGAATAAACGAACGCGCCTTTCATTGGACCACTCCTCGGAAGGAGAGCAATTAGTTCTGTTCCAATCGACATGAGAACCGTTCCAGAACCAGTAATTTCCAGTTGCCCACCTATTTTTCATTAAGTTAAATGTGTATCCAACTTGACAAATGAATTGATCGACTGGAAATTAGCGTTCTAGAACGTTTGGAACAGAGCTTTTATTTTGCAAATTCCTATCGATATGACAAAGGCGTATCATCGACGAAACGATGTTTATATCGATTCGATATATCGTATTTTCTGAGCCCTCATGTCTACTCTCCCAGTCGTCTTTGGTTTTTGTTGATTGCATAAGTAGTCTTCAAAAAAATATTTTCTCCAATTTCTAATTGCTTCTTTGGAATATCGAAGCCTGCAAAATGCACGTACCACAAAGGGCTGTACAGGTTTTAGCCAGACAAGGTAAGAAAAGAATCACAATAATTATTGCCCTCCACTTTCGTGCATGTTGGTTTTTTTGAGACTGATTAGGACTAGGACTACTAGAATAATTATAAACATGTTACACTTTAATAAACGCATTCTTGTTTTCAGCTCTTCAAAAACGCTCCTACCACAGCAGCCTAACGACAAGCACCTACAACGACCTGCCATCACCTGCTGGTAGCTGGCAGACCCAATTTGAATCCCAGCAGCGTAAATACAATACCATATTAGCAGCTGGATTGGCCGTTTTCGCTGGTTCTTTACTTGTCGGTAAAGCTTCTGGGATGTTTGAATTCTACAATCATTACCCTGACAGGCCAGCCACCATTGAAACCTACAAGCCTTAAAATGTTGTTAATGTAATAATTAATAGTACGGGAGTTAGTGTATTATAATTTATGTGAATCTTTTTTTTTTTTCTATTTGATGTCTTCTATTCCTCATTTTATATATTCCAGTCCAGCCAACAATGGCAACAATACCCATACAAAAACTACCTAAATTAGATGTTTTTGATGCACAGTTTTGATATTTTCCATGATCATTAATTAAATTAGTGATTATGAAAATAATAACATTAGGATTTATTACAGAATTCAACAATAAAAATTTGAAAAAAAGTTTTCAAATGCATTTTTCAGCATTTTCCAGCCTATTGGAATGGAATTAATTGTTTGATCATCTCACTAGATGGCGCCTTATGTCAAACTTTATACATACTGGGTTCAGATTTAGTGCAGTTTCCTTCTAAAACTATCTTCAATTTATCCAGTATTTCCTCTATTTTAGTGCAAAGACTCAATTAATTAATTTATTCGGCGAAAAAATCATTATTTATTGCGACAAAATATTAATTTTCATTTATTGAGCGCTACCTGTGTTAAAAAATCGATTTAAGGGCGTGAAAACTGTTGCAATAGTTAAAATGGTTAGCTTCAATTTCGTATAGTTAGTAGCCGGGTAAGTACTCTAATTTATTTGAATTTAAAAAAAATTCGGTTTCTTGACATCATGGAGGCATGCGGTCGTGTTCAAATCAAGACATTCCTGTGAGAAAAATCTCGATTTTTCAGGAAAAAAGTTTTTCTGCGATTGACAAGAAATGTCAGCATTTTTGACCGGTTGACAAGTCGCAAAACTCAATGTATTTCAATTATGTTTCAATGGTTGCTAAGAAATCAATGAATAACACTTTTCCGGCCTAAGCCGGGAAAGGAAAGTGATTCTCGTATTGCTGAATAATTGGAACTAAAAGACAAACATTTAACAGGTATTTAACCGATCGCAGAAAAAATAGTATGTGTATTTCGGTGGAAAAGCACATTCTCGTCCTTCGGTGTTTGCCGGCTCGGCTTCGCCTCGCCCGTCAACTTACACCGTCGGCCGAGAATGTGTCACTTTTCCACCTAAATACACAATATACTATTTTAGAGTGCGAAAAGTATTGAAATAGTGAAAGTGAAAGTTTAGCTTCAATTTGATCTGATTAGTTACGCGTTAAGCGATTTGTTATTTTTAAATTTATATTTAAAGAGTTCCCGTATTCTCGACATTATGGCGGCATTCGTAGGCCTCCATTTTGTACTGCAAAAACTCATGTAAAATTAAATTTTAAGCTAATCTGGGTTATTTAAAGCCCATTTTTAGTTTACTAGACTACCACTGACATTTTTTACTAAAGTCTGTTTTTTTTTTTAAAGATAAAAGTCAAAATGGCACTATGTTGGCAATACAATGTAAAATTGTGAATGCTTTCAATTTTTTTTTATTACGCATGCATCATAATCAACGATTATCGCAAGCTGCAGCGTGCATAAAATGATGTTTATGATGCGTCTACCTTTTCAAAGGTTTGTTATAGAAACGTTCGATCTACCTTCATTACCTAGATATTTACCTGCATACCTGCGATTTAAATTACTACTTATCAAAATGAATGAACACTTTTAAAACATTTTTGAGATTATGATGCATTCGTAATAAAAAATAGCGTATGTTATGCGTGTATAAGAGAAGGGGTATTTAAAGCCCTTATTAATTACAGATTTCTGTAATCGTCCTACATGATAGATGGCGGTAACTGAAAAATAACGCATTTTTGTTGACAATGGTACATAACCTCAAAGCCGGGAATAATAAAATATCAAGCTGCTCAGCTGGGGACACGTTTCCGAAATCTCCAATAACTTTATTTTATAAATAACCTTCGAAAATAATTAGTTGGTGATAGTGACGATAGTGAAAATTGTCCTCAATGAAACTGAAACCATGAATTCAGACACACTAGATTCGAAGTACAATGTGGAAAACAAACAAGTTGTCTCGAAAATATCTCTAAAACTGAAACCCACTCCGATTTTATTCGCAAACAACGGACCTCCGCCTGCCAAGAGAATCAAACTATCCGAAAACGGCTTAGCCAAACGAGCGATAACATTTGGCAATGGCAATAATAATATCAACAACAATCAGAAACCAAAAATTAGCGTCCAGGATCAGAAAAGACAGTTGCCGATATTCGCCAATAAAAATAAACTAATAGAATTGATTAAAAGGCACGATACACTGATTATTTTGGGGGAAGCAGGAAGCGGCAAGACTACACAGATACCCCAATACATCAACTCGGCAGGGCTGCAAGGAAATGGACAAATTGCTATTACGCAGCCTAGAAGGGTTGCTGCTATTAGTGTGGCAATGAGAGTGGCTCAGGAATATGGAAATGGGGTAAGGAACTGTCAGTAGATAATTTCAGAGTGAATTTCATTGGTTGAAACAAGTTTTCTAACAGATGAAGTTAGAGTACTTTAGAGAGCTCAAAACAGATATGTACATATATTGAAAAAGTAGTCCATGACTCAAAGTGGAGTGAAATTCGAAGTCAAAAGAAACACAAAGTTTTCCTCCCATTTCTGATTAAAGTTTTAAATAATAAATAAATTCTTTATTTACGGACATGCCATTTTTACAAAGGTAGACTTAAAGTGTAGGTACACGCAATAATAAATATTTGGAATAACAAGTAGGCAACAGACAAGTTAGTATAAAAAATAGTATTTTACATTATTAGCCAGGTAAAACAGTTTTTACTGGTGATTGAAGGAAATTACTAGCGAGCCGTCAGGGGAGCTTGTCACCTTCAAGAGCCAGTAAAAACTGATACCTGGCGTATGATGTACAATAATTTATTTGTTACTCATTTGTAAACAATCTTAAATAATAAATAAAAAATTAATACATATAGGTAATACAATTTTAATAAATAATTCTCTGACCCTACTGACTTGTAAAAAGTTTTTACAGTTTAGCTGTCAATTTTACAAGTCAGTAGAACCATTAACTGGTAAAAATCAATTTTCGTTGTTTATATTTTGACTTGATAAATGACGTTTTACAAATGAGTGACAAATAAACAATATTACATAAGCCTAAACAAATATTTTGTAGTAGGTATCAAAACATAAACAACATAATACGCTTAAAATTGAATACAAATAGAAAAAACGATAATTTTAGGATCGACTTTAAAATTCTTTTGAATCTATCCAAACTTATGTTAAAAACATCCAAATCAGTCTTCAAAATAATATCATTCAGAGAACGACAGCTTCTAAGTAAAGGTGAATGGTAACCATAATTGGTTCTACGAAAATCAAGGTTAAACAATGTGTTTCCTCTTAAATTGCTAGATGGTACATGTAAGCCAATTCTAGCAAGTAAGTCTGGAGAATCAATAGAATTATTAACAATCTTAAACAAAGTACACATATCAAAAAACTGTCGCCTCTGGTTCAGATTTTCAAGATTTAGGACAGACATTAACTCATTATAATTTATAGATTCACTTGGGATGCCCAATCGATATGCAATGGATCTTAAAAACTTTTTTTGAATTCGTTCCAAGTGGGAGATGTGCACAGCATAATAAGGGGACCAGACAGGGCAAGCATATTCTACAACTGATCTAACAATTGCACAATAAATGTTTCTTAGGGTGTAGATATTAGTAAATTCTTTTAGTGACCTGAACATAAAGCCTAGTAATTTCATTGCTTTATTAGCAGTTATTTCAATGTGCTCTGTGAAGCTTACATTAGTGTTGAAATAGACTCCCAAGTCTCTAATAGTTTCAACCCTGTTAATCTCCAAATCATTAAGAACGTAATTATGTAAGTAAGGTGTTTTTTTCCGAGAAAAAGTAATAACTTTACACTTCTCAACATTTAAGGGGAGTTTGTTTCTTTGACACCAAGTCCGAAACATATCCAAGTCCACTTGCAATAATTGAGCATCCCTGACATCCCGAACAACCATAAAACACTTCAAGTCATCAGCCAAGAGCAAAAAATCGGAATTTCTGAAGACACCTGACAGATCATTAATAAATATACTAAACAGCAAAGGAGACAGGTGTCCTCCCTGAGGCACCCCCGAGGTCACCGAAAATACTGAAGAGATGTAATTCTCAATTTTTACAGCCTGTTTTCTACCTGTGAGAAGACTTCCAATCAAGCTCAATAGACCTCCATGCAGCCCCACATCGGCCACCTTCTCCAATAGTATCTTATGGTCAACCCTGTCAAAGGCCTTGGAGAAGTCAGTGTAGACCGAGTCAATCTGACACTTATTCTCCAAGCCCTCCAACAGAGCCTCCTCATAGACCAGAAGATTAGTCAATGTAGATCTACCCTTAATAAAGCCATGCTGTTCTGGTACAATAACATGTTTCAAAATTGGTGTAAGAAAATCCGTTATTATAGACTCAAATACCTTAGAAAAAATAGACATTCTGGATATGGCCCTATAGTTTTTAATATTATTTCTTTCTCCACTTTTAAACACAGGAGTTATATAGCTTAATTTCCACATATCAGGAAACCGTCCCAACTCTAAAGCCTTATTGAATATTTTACATAATATCTCTGAAAGAATACAACTACAATTCTTAACAAATAATACTGGGATGTCATCAGGACCACAACCCAATCCATTCTTCAATGAATGTATCTTGTTAAATATATCAAGAGAGGTAATTTGAACCGAACTGATACTGCAATTAGACAAACTAGATAAATTAGAGACAGGAATGTTTCGATCACTCTCAACACTCACCTCAGTATAAACCGAGGAAAAACTATCCTTAAAGAGATTGACAATTTCATGAGGTGTGCTACCTTCATGCTCATCAAGAAACATAGAACTGGGATATCCACGATTTTCATTTTTCGATCATACATATCTCCAAAATCCATTTCTGTCCTGTGTCTCGGACTCGATTTTCTCAATGAAATTCCTATGGCTGATATGTGAATAAATTTTACATTCTTTCCTAATTTCTGAAAAAACTCCATAATCCTGAGCGGACATAGTATTTTTATAGTTTTGATGTGCCTTTTTTTTAGACAAAATCAAACATTTTAAATGACTATCCATCCATCCTGGAAATTTTGCTGTTTTTCTTTTTGAAATGGGTGTAAAGATCTCAATAGCATGATAAATTTGATTATAAAAAGTATCGACAGCAGAGTTTATATCATCCATATCAACAAAAGAGTCCCAATCCACACAAGACAGATAAACATTTAAATCCCTAAAATTACAATTCTTATAATCCAGAAAACAATAATCATACTCCAACTTATCAGAATTATTATTTGAAATTAATACATCAAAAACCAAAGCAGGATGAGGTGTGTCCAAATTCAAAAGTGGATCGGCTGATATTGAGGTACATACATCTTTATTACTACAAAATATCAAATCCAGAAAGTTCCCATAAATATTAGAAATATTATTCACTTGATATAAGCTATGGAAAGCCATGCAGTCAGCCAACTCTGTGGTTTGTTCAGATTGTTTACCAATAGCCCTAGTCCCATGCAAATCATTGATCCAGGACACATCCGGTCTATTAAAATCTCCACATAAATAGATTTCCAAGTTTTGACAACTACTACATATTTCCAACGCAGCTGTTACGGATGAGCAGTAACTTTCATAGGTGTCTATAGGAGAATCTGGGGGCAGATAAGCATTGCCTAACAAAATATGATGCTCTTTCAAAGAAAGCAGTACAAAAATGTGCTCCACTGATTCAAATTGAGTAGATATCTGTCTACAATTAAGAGACTTCCTCACTGCAACCATGACACCCCCTTGTGACTTATGGACACTGGTTCTATCAGAACGATCACAGCGAAATATTAAGTAATTACTCATTCCCAATTCGCTCGACAAAATGTCTTTATTCAGGAAAGTCTCAGTAAATAACACAAAATCATAGTTTTCCGTGGAAATATTGCACATAAGGGTGGTTAGTTTTGTTCTCAACCCCCGCACATTTTGATAGTAGCCTGTTAGAGCTACCCTGTTGCCAGAATATGTGTCTCCTGAACAAAATTTGATGGTCGATCATTTCGAGGTGTTCTATCTTTTGAAGCTATTAGAACTTCATCATCATTGACAAGTTACCTACTTAAACAGTTTTACATCATTTAATTTGAAGCCGCTGAACTTAGCATTTGGTAGAGGAAACACCAAAGAGATTTACAGAGATTCTACAAAATGCTATTTTGTAGATTCCTAATATCATGTGACTCCACAACTCTATAGACAAAACTAAAAGAAAAATTAAAACAAAGGCTAAATTTTAATCCGAAAAGTTTTAATTTAAATCCTGTTCACAATCCGATGTACACAGGTACAGGTAAATTTATCACCTTTCCCTATCAAATAGCATTGAAAGGTGATTTTACCTGTACCTACCTGTGGACATCGGATTGTGAACGGATAATATGTTTTATATTTTTATAATTTTAACTAGTATTCGTTTAAATTACAAGTCCTTTGTCCTTGCCTTTGTCTAAATGTAGTTATTTTTTCTAAATCTTTTTGGTTTTTTCTCTACCAAATGTTAGCGGCTTCAAATTAAATGATATAAAACTGTTTAAGTAATATTGAGCAAACATACCTTTGATGATGAAGCTATAATAACTTCCGAACATGTAGGGCTCTTTAATTTTTCAATTAAAAATTTATGTGGAGGAACACTTTGTGTTTCTTTTGAGATGATTCCATATTCATTGATCTGTGACAAAGGTCAAGTAGAGGATTTCTATTTTCTATAAGTTGTTTAATTACATTTAATTTTAATATTATTGAATAGATTAATAGAATCCTATTTACTAGCCACCTTAGATCCTTTGAAACCCCCCAAACTCCATACACTAAATTATTCTTACTAAAACGATGAAACTCAAAAAACTTTTTTGTTGAGATTTTGTGTCCTCGTGGTTCTTTGGGATCCAAATTGCATACACTAAATTATTCTGAGATTTGGAGCAAGATTCTATGAAAAAAGGCACTCAGAAAAAATGAAAAATTGATGGCTTAACACGATTTTATTTCTGGAACTATAAGTCCAAATGCGCTGAAATTTTCAGGGATTGTAGACCTCCACTAGGATAAAAATTGCTGAAAATTTCAGCTTTCTATTTTTAATAGAAAAAAAGTTATGACCTTTCAAAGTTTTCCAAAATCCAAATCTTAAGGTAGTTACCACAGTACTAAAACGATGAAATTTCAAAATTTTTTTTGTTGAAGTTTTGTGTCTTAATGGTCTTTCGGGACCCCCCAAACTCTATACCCTAAACTATTCTCAGATTTGCAACCGAAATCTATGGAAAAAGGCACTCAGAAAAATTGATAAATCACCCCAAATTGCTTAACACGATTTTATTTCTGGAACTATAAGTCCAAATGAACTGAAATTTTCAGAGATTGTAGTCCTCTACTGGGATAAGAATCGCTGAAAATTTCAGCTTTCTATCTCTAATAGAAAATAAGTTATGATTTTTCAAATTTTACAAAAATCTAAATTATTTATATTTTATGGCTTTCAAAATTACCGGGTGCCCACGAGATTACTTTCCGGCTGCCATGTTTTTATTTGTTCATCGATATCAACGAAACTTGCTAGGCTTGATATTCTAACGAAACGCCATTTATATGCATTTTTGACAAGTTTTCCTGACTTCCGGTTTTCCGGAAATTACCAAAACTTTTGATTTTCAAATGGCACACCCTGTATATTTTTTGTTTTTCGGATTCTACAGATCGTTTAACGTTCTAATGTACCACTTTTAAATCAAGTTTTGTCCAAATTTCGTTTTCAAATCAAATTTTAAGTAGAAGAAAAAAAAAATGCCTACAAAAATATTTGAACGAAAATTAAGAAAAATGTCGTAGTGTATTATATCGTTGGATTCGCATTAAAATACTGCATTTAGTAATGTTATGAAAGTGATATGTTTCTATTCTAGTTTTTGAGCTAGGGCAAAAATACTGAAATAATGAAATTTACAGCCCTGTATCAAAAAATTTTACAAAGATAAAATTGAGTTTCTATTTTTCTAAAATTAAGTAAAGTATGTTAAGTCATTTTAGGATGATCATGGCACTCTAGTTAAAAAACTAAAATTTAATTAAAAAACAAAATTTGGACCAAAATCGATTCAAAAGTGGTGCATTAGGATGTAAAATGAACTGTAGAAACCGAAAAACAAAAAATATACAGGGTGTGTCATTTAAAAATCAAAAACCGGAAGTCAGGAAAACTTGTCATAAATGTATTGTTCGTCGATTTTTAACTGATACTTGCGGTATGAAGAGCGAGGGGGTGTTTCATATGGCAAAAACAGGTGTGACATCAGGTAACCATTGGCGTTCTAATGTAGGGAGCCACCAGCTCACATTCCGTCCGAGTATCAGATTAAAATCGACGAACAATATAAAAATAGCGTTTGGTTAGGATATCAACCCTGCCAAGTTTCGTTGATATCGATAGACAAATAAAAAAATGGCCGCCGGAAAGTGATCTCGTGGGTACCCGGTATATTATTCGCACCTACCTAATTAAAAAAATCAAAAATCAAATGATTGAAAACATCCAAAACCTCTTCTCGACCTTTGACACAGATCAAAGCATACCTATTAGCTCGTGCAAAAAAAAGGATAATGGATACTTAATCACCATTTTTCTCTCAAGAGAAAAATAACTATGAAATCAAAAAAATATTATTTAAATCTCACTCTGATAGTGGTATCTCTGATGATATTATGTCCATAAGTTCAATTCAACTTTGGACTTACTAGCTTGATGAATTCTCTTTCAGATGGGTATAGGTGATTATGTAGGTTACACAGTGCGTTTTGAAGATTGTACTACAAAGAAAACCAGAATCAAATTTGTCACTGACGGTATGCTTCTTCGAGAAGCGATGAATAACCGTTTACTGATTGACTATACTGTAATTATGTTAGACGAGGCTCACGAGCGCACATTACACACTGACGTACTATTTGGCATTGTTAAAGAGGCCCAAAGAGTTAGGGAACAACGGAAACTGACACCTTTAAAAGTAAATAGTATGTCAATATCAATTGTATTATTGAATTATGCACATTGTAGATTATAATCACTTCTGCCACAATGAATGTAGACCACTTTTCCAAATATTTCAACAACTGCAAAGTAGTTTATATCGAAGGCCGGACTTTTCCTGTGGATATTCACTTTGCGAAAAAACCTCAAGACGACTATCAAACCAGCTGTGTTGCAACATTTTTCCAAATACATAAGGAAGCCCCACCAGAGTATGTATTTTTCATTTATTTAAATTCTTTGGTAATTAAATTCCACATTGCAGCCATGATGTTTTAATATTTCTCACTGGCCAAGAAGAAATTGAAACTTGCGCCCATCAAATTCGTCTTTTGGCCAAAGATCCTGAAACCGAAGGACCTCCAGTTAGAGTGTGCACTCTTTATGCAGCCCAGCCAGGTTTGCAGCAAATGGCCGTGTTTAATCCCGCTCCGGTTGGTGTTAGAAAAGTGATTATCAGTACTAACATTGCTGAAACTAGTGTCACTATTAGTGGGATTAAATATGTTATTGATAGTGGGATGGTTAAAGTGAGGTGAGAATTATTCGTACTGTTTGTTATTTTGCTCCATTCAAAACACTTGCGTTATTTCTTTCTTTAGAACCTTTCATCCATCTACAGGCCTGGAATTATTAAAAGTCCAAAGAATATCCAGAGAACAAGCAGATCAAAGGACAGGTAGGGCCGGTAGACAATCGCAAGGATTTTGCTACAGATTGTACACGAAATCGCAATTTGAACTGATGAACAAGAGTACGGTTCCGGAAGTGCAAAAGGCCAACCTCAATACGGTGGCCTTGCAATTGTTGGCTTTGAAATTGCACATGTTGAATTTTGATTTTATGGATGCGCCCCCTAAGGAGTCCGTTGAGGCTGCTTTTCGCCAGCTGAAATTATTGGGAGCAATCGAGGAATGTGTTTCCACTGAGTTGACTGCATTAGGAAAAAAGATTGCCAAGTTTCCATTAGATCCTAGATTTAGTAAAATATTAATTATGGCAGGTATTTATTATTAATTACCCTTTATAATACATAAAACCTGTATCTATTTTTTATTTTAGAAAAATTCAGTTGCGTTAAAGAAGCCATAATAGTGGTTTCCCTTCTTTCAAGTGAATCTATTCTCTTAAATCCCCCCTCCAGGAGGGAGCAAGCACAATTAGCTCGACAAAAATTTCGTTCTGGACACGGAGACCATGTGACGCTATTGAACATCTACAAAGCCTTTGAAGGTGTTGGAAAAAATAACATAAGACTTTGGTGTCATGAGCATTTTATCCATATGAAAAATATTATGTACGTGAGTGAAGTAAAGGAGCAACTCCAAGAAATTTGCAGAAAATGTGATATACCCAATTCAACGTGCGCTAGCCAAATAGACCAATTGAGAAAGTGCCTATTGTCAGGTTTATTCATGAACGTTGCGGAATTGTACAGGGACAGACAATATATTACCCTAGATAAACGTCAAGTTACCTTAATTCATCCTAGTTCAGTGGTGCACGGTCAGCAACCGCGTTTTATTTTGTTCACTGAAGTTGTTCAAACAACCAAATGCTACCTCAGAGATCTGACGACCATTGAAGGCGATTGGATGGCAGAAATTGCTGCAGATTATGCTAAAAAGCATAGTTTTAAGTCTAGTAATGGGAATACTTGAACAGAACTATTAATTGATGATAAATCTATTTTTATTATAAATTTAAGGAAAATTGTATTTTATTTTGTAATAAATAAAGGCTGTTAACATTGCCATTTTGTTAATATGTAAGTATTGTGTTCTTTAGTCTTAAACCCAATTTGGAAATGCAATCCCTTTTTATGTGTTTGGGTTGGCAAAAACCCAGGTTTTTGTGTTTTCGTAAGGTTTTTATGTTTACTTAACTAGACGAAATCGTATATTTGTTTCAACAGTCAGAAGTTTCAAAATTGAAATTATTGAACATTGAACATTTTCCAAAAATGACACTGAAACAGCTTTCGCCTCACAGTTTCAGCAATTAGGCTCTTATTAAAGCCAATTAAATTCTCTACAAACCTGTAAATTGAGATTTTAATTTAGCTTCAACAGTTTTGCAGCTGAAAAGGTGAGAAGCTTCAAAATTGAAATTTTCGAACATTGAAAATTTGCCAATAATTACATTTGGACAATTTTTGCCTCACAGCTTTGTTAATTTTTATTCGATTTCAATGTAATTAAAGCCAATTAAATTATATACCAATTAAGATTTCAATTTAGTTTCAACTGTTTCACACCTAAGCTAAGAAGCTTCAAAATTGAAATTATCGAACATTGAAAATTTTTCAAAAATTACACTGAGACAGTTTCTGCCTTACAGCTCCGTTAATTTCCATCCGATTTCAATGTAGTTTGGCTATAATTAAAGCCAATTAAATTCTCCACAAACGTGTCAATTGAAATTTCAATTGTTCATTTACTTAATTACTTTTGTGTATGCCAACTCTTATGGACAATCATGGGCTCGAGAAAATCACCAAATTAAAAAGGACAATCAAACTCGTCTAAAAGCAATAACGATTTATTTAATACATATTTTATCCAAAAAAACTGTGCAACAAGCGGTGATATACATAATATAAATCATTTCAACTGCAACTTAAAATCCATAATTATGACTTACTAGGTATAATTATTAATTTTGTAAATCTTCAAAAATGCCCTAATAATAAATATCATCCCTATAAATATCTGTCTGTATGTTGGTCTATCTAAAAATATTATTAATTGGCTAAAATTGGCCAATTTTAATTCAAAAATATCATTATACCTTTAATCATTTACATTCATATCGCACCCTTGTTATAAAAACACAATAAATAGTAAAATAATTTAATAAAAAATAAATAGATACTTTTCTTCAAGGACAAGTAATCAAATTACTTGCACATGAAAAAAAATATATTAAAAACACATAAATATAAAATAAATTCTCACTAGGTAGGTGACGAATACCTAAAAATTGTAGCCATGTCTAACTTCTAGCTGACGCAAAGCTGTCTTCTTCGTCGCTGTAGTCCTCTTGACTGTACAAATTGTATTTGGATGAGCTTCGTGAGGCAGAAGGTGATTCGAAACGCAGACTTTTCCTGGGAGGTACTCCTTCGTCCAAAAAGTCAAAATCTCCATCAAAGGTGGGACTGCCTGGAGGTGAACCAGGTGGACTGAGGGCGTTTAGGATTTTATCTTTACTCTCGTGCCATATGTTAGTCAAGCGTTCCTTTCCAAACAAAAGTAAAAAGTTTTCGATGAACTCTCTAGACTTTTCCTCCCATTTTGAGATCATGTCGTCCTTTTTCTCGCCAATAGAGTCCATCACTCTTTTGCCTTTATCTTTGAGCTCGTGCATTTTATTCTGCAATCTGATCTTTTTCTCATTGAGGTAGGAAATATTCAAATCCTTGGCCGAATAGCCTCTGGCCAAATTTCTCCTGACGTAAATGTCATAGTCGCGCACAATACGAGCCACAATGTCGGAAGTCGAAACTCCTTCGGTGCGCTCAGTAGCCACAAACATACCTTTGGCCTTCCATTTGGAGTAAATGTCATTAGTGTCGTCGGTACCGTACGGAATGTCGTCATGGGCGATAAAGTCGATTTTGTGCTTTTCCATAAAAGATTCGTCCACTTCCCAGGGGGCGTCACGTACAATTTCATCAACATACCGGCAATGACGTACCGCTTCGTAGCGTTCACTTTCGTTCATTACAGTACGACCTTTTTTACTATGCGTCATTCTATCACTGCAAACTGAATAGAAAATTGATTGATTTAGCTCATTAATCAACTATTACTAAGTACTCACTTCCCACAATCAAATAAACATTGGGAAACACGTTTTTGGCTTGCATCAGTTGACGCGCGTGTCCCTGATGAAACAAATCGTAAATCCCGTCTGCGTAGACGCGCACCGGTCGCAGCGCTTTTCCGCTGCGCGCCATTTCGTAGGTGATGCGCTCCGCATAGTCGCAAACGTCTCTGTTGCGTTGCGCTGTCGGTTCGTCGCTGAACGGGGCTTCTGCACACGTTGACTGGAAAACAATAATTTTTTTAAAAAAATATAAATGGAGCTCCAATAAAATTATCATGCAAATAAATATAATTTAACTGTGTACACATTTTATTATTTAAAAAAATAAAATAAAATCACGCGATTCCGGTCAAAGTTTATTTTTAGTTGGTTTTTAGGTTGATGTGGTGACTCAACAAATGATAATGATAGGTGATTCCCTGAAATAATTTATTAAGTAAAATATAAATATTTTTAATCTTAATGATTGGAAAATTGTATAAAATATAAAGGGACAACTACCAGAGAAATCAAATATTTCAACTAAATTATTTTGAAGCCGAAATCTATGGAAAAATTGAATATTTGATAAAGGACACCTCTTATGGGTTTTTGGTTTTCTGTCAAACTCAATGAAATTTTGATATGTGTTAGACCTTTACTTTCTGATAAAAAGTTCTCATGGGCCCGAACCAATCCTATGTACAGCAAAAAATAATTACTATAAGTTTAGTGTTAAAAGAAAGAGTGGAAAAAGTACTTTTGGATTGTGTTTTAATACTATCATAAAAAACTAGTGATTATGTGTATAGAAACAAATTAGTTTGATAAATATAGTTATAGTTGACAAAACTAAATAAATTTTTTTGTTGCGATAAGGAACTGACCTTCGAGGGCTCACAGGTGATTTATAAGCCAACACTTGTTTATTATTATTTTTTGTTTCTTAGATATATTCTAACAATATTTCAAAATTGGACTTATTGTCATAAGAAGGAAAATACTTAAATTTAAAAGGTAAAAAAAAATAAAAAACTGAAAAATTGAAAATATGGCGGATCGTTTTAAAGAGCTCATATGCTCAAAATGTAATGCCGACTGTGTATTTAAGGATAGGCCAAATAAAAGCGAACTCTTTGGATCAACTTGCGACTGTTGCAAATTGGTATATTGTAAAAAATGTGCTGCTATTAGCACGTCCGAAGCACATAACTTAGCTTTAGTAGAAAGGAAATTATTATTTTTCATTGATAACCTATTTCACTTATTTAAAGTACTCCTCAGCGTGTTTAAATCCAACATTCAAAAACGCGCATGTTTTAAAGTTACCAATGACAACATCCCAACATCAACAACCCGAGAAATGTCTAAATGTCAACTTTTTAATTATTGATTTGTCAGGAGTAGGTACTTGTAGATAACGTCAAATAAAATATAACAAGTGTTAAGCACGAATTTGGCATTCTACAATTATTAGTAATTCATGATTTGAACGTATACCAATAAAAAAATTAATATCCACTTATATTTTAATATACTATTTTTATTGTGATAATTGCAAGGTACGCCTAGGAAATATATGTAGCGATGAAAGTTTGGAAAAACTATACCAGGATAATAAAAAACTTCAAGAAATTGTAAGATTGTTGGAAATTGATCAAGAGGAAGTTAAGGTAGATCATACGAGACAAATCTATGAGTTGAACCAGATCATAAAGGGTAAAGATGATACTATAACCAGGATGAGAAGAAGAACTTTGGACTTTGAGGACGACGTATTTGCTTCCGAGAAACAATCTGAAAAGAAACTTCAAGACTGTAAGACCAAAATAATTAATCTGGAGGAGGACCTCAAATCCACCAAAGAAGAACTTCTAGACAAACTAGAGAAAATGACAGAATCATTATTAAAATTGAAAAAAAGTGAAAAAGAAGTCGCAAGGTTAACTAGAAAAGAATGCTTAGGGAGAACGCAAGACATTGAAAACTCAGTTTCTTGTACTGAGCTTTTTGCTGAGAATAAAATTAAGACCTTGGAAAGAGAAAAAGTTGAAATTAATAAGGAAATTTCATCAACCATAGAGACTCTAACAGAAGAAAACAATGTTTATGTGGTTGATCTGAAAAAAGCTAACCAAGAGCTCTTTGCTCTGAAAGATACCTTGATGGCCTCTCAAGCACAAGCCAAAGAATCTCCCATAGCTGTAATCAAACAGACCAAAGAAGGAATAAAATTGAAGAACAATGTTCCAAGTTCTTTTATGACATCTGACAACAAATTATGCCTGGAGGATACCACTGAGGAGCAGACTGATTCAATTTCACTTGAAGAAGAACTAAGGAATGCCAATCCTGAAGCTAATAATTATGACTATGCTAAAGTAAATGAACAAAAAAAGAATAAGGTAGTGTTTTTAACAGATGATTATGGTAAACATATGTACAACTATCTGAAGGATTTTTTTAGTGATGATTTTTATGTTCAGATTATATGTAAACCATTTGCCAAATTCAATGATGTAGCATCTAGCATCAATTGTCCTGTAACCGAGTTAACAATGTCAAATTTTGTAATAGTACTGGCTAGAGTGAATAATGATGATATTTCAATGAAAAATATATCGTCATTGGCAAAAAAATGCTTCTCTACTAATTTACTCTTGTGTAATATACCTATTAATATAGAATGTAGAGAGGCTTTATCTTGTAAATAATAAGATTTCTAATAGTTCTTTAAGTTTAGGATTCTACTCAAATAATGTTAAGTATCTGAATTTGCAATATGAATTTGACCAAAGATGCTTTTTCAGAAACAGTATTTATTTGAATCGCAGGGGCAGGCGGTTATTAGCAAATTTATTATTTAAAAAAATTATAAACTTCTTTGTACCTGACAGATTTAGAACTTTATTACAGGTCAAGGTTGACGATTGTGGGTTCTTTCCTGAATATCCAGGGGAGGCGGATCTTCTGGACTCTGAGCCTCTTTTGTTGGAAGGCCAGGCTCATCTTTCGAGGCACGAAATAAATTTTTTAGACAAGCATCCCTGGCCACTCGTAATACCCAGGAAGGACTGTCCTTTTTAATTTTGAATATTCGCTCAATTCGTGGTAAGGTGGATGAATTTTCTGTATTCTTGGAGTGTTATGAAAATCCAGGGTTTTTGCTTGTGACGGAGCACTGGTTGAGGAGGGATGAACCATTGAGGATCCCGAATTATCTAATGCTGTCTTCCTTTTGCAGGGCTGATCGCGTGGGGGGAGGCACAGCAATATTCATCCGTGAGGATTTGTGTGGAATTGTGAACTGTATGCGTGTGAGTGAGTTTGATGGATTGTGTGTAAAAGGAGAATTTGAGTTCTCAGTTGTGTACGATAAAGTGAATCATGTTTATTTCTTGTATATTTACAGACCTCCTAGTAGTGCAATTGGTGAATTTCTGAGTAGGCTGGAGATGTTGCTCTCTCTCTTGCATGGTTCGGACATTTTATTGGCGGAAGATCTTAATATAGATTACTTAGATAATAATTCATTGCAGACACAAAATTTAAACGATTTGCTTTTGTCTTTAAACTTTAAAATGTTGATCAAAAATCCTACCCGTATTACTGAAGGTTCAAGTACCATAATTGATTATTTTTGTGTAAATTTTTGGGACAAGCACCTCTGTGAGGCAATGGTTGTACCTTCGGGATTATCGGATCATGAAGCAATTTTAGCAAACATAACTTTAAGGACATAAAAAACTAAAAACATTAGAATGGGACGAATTTATAACAGGTCCAATTTTAATAAATTTAGAAGGGATTGTCAAAGAATAGATTGGAATAAAATAGAGGCATTGTCAGACCCACTTGATATTTTTAGCATGGAAATAACTAACTTATTCAACAAACATTTCCCATTAAAAACAATAAAACAAAAAAGTAAAAAACCTTGGGTTACCAAACCTCATCTAGGAACTTAAGATTTTTGAACACTCTTAAAAAAAACTTCCCTACAAACTTTCTGAAATAGTTATTTATACACCAAGTGAGTTAAATGAATGTTTATTTATGAAAAGAAAGTTTAACCCACAAGCCCTAGCGAGTGGGTTAATTTTCTTTGAATGAATAAACATTTTAACTCACGTGATGTATACAAAATTTTATCCCACTTTGTGGAAATTTAAAAAATCAAGTACAGGGTGTCCCATTGAAGATGGGAATTGGGATTATCTGCTAAACTCGTAGAGGTAGATTTTTATTGATTCCACATTCCCGGGCCAATTTTTCATGACGAATCGAATGCCACAAACCGCAGGTCTCTATCTTGTTTCGTTTTGGAGATACAGGGTGAAACTTGAAATGTTCACTTTTCGAGGGTAGTCATTATCTAGGGTATAAAAAAAAGATACCAAAAAGTTGAAAATTGTATCCGACGCAGTTTTTTACGTAGATTTCATTGGCGTACTGGAATTTTTTTTCCGAGGTACCGCTTGAGAGATATGACACAAACTTCATCTTTTTTAAATGGGACACCCTGTAAATTTTTACATTTTTGGAATACGCATAAAATTACCTTTCCGATGATATATAATTTGTCTATATTATGTTGTAACTTGGCCAATATTATCATGGCATTTGAAACTTTCCATAAGAAATAACCCTTGCAAATCACATTGAATATTTGGTTTTATTTTCTGGTGTAATTTTTAAATGTGGGACACCCTGTAAAATAATAGTTTATTAAATCCTGTATTTTTCTCTATTTCAACAATATAGATATTACACTTTGTAGTTATACCTCTCCATTAACGTTAAGAAGAAATAGGTTCTTATTGCAAAGAAAATTGATGTCATTTCGGATTAACCGGTACCTACCTACAGCATATATCCTATAAAAAATAATCAAATATCTCACTAATGCTCAGTAACTGCATTTAATAGTCTAATGCCCGGTTTATTCACCTTCTGATAAACTGTCAGGCAATGTAATATGACGGATAAACTGGTAATCTATGAATAATCCGATTGGTTGGCCAGTTATCCGAAAACCAATGAGATTAAAGATTGGCCAATTTATCTTGTAGACAGTTAGGCTTTAGATCTTCCGCACATTGGGCAACTGGAAACAAACTTACTAGAAACTTGAATCGTCAATCAGTTGCTTATTAGTTGCCGCTTGTGTATTTCAATGAGCATCCGCACGCAACACAACTCGCTGGTAAGGAAACTCGTCGGTGGTCTGTTAGCCGCAAT